ATAACACATGTTTCTGAAAGTTAAACGTTAGATTTGATTGTGTTATTTCTATATTTTTAAGTCACATTTCCACTTTATTATTCACCTAATTTCACCCACAGACAACAGCAGCTGTGGAACAACATCCGAATTACAAACCAGAGTAAAGCTGAGAGAGTTAAGCCATGACCTGCATCTGTCCAGACCAGGAACCAGGAAGTGTTTGCATCTGCAGCCGTCGCCGTGGTTACAGAGGAGAGGCCAGCGTGTTAGTGGGAGCACACACACAGACAGACAGATGCAGATAGACACACACACAGACACACACACAGACAGACAGACAGACACACACACACACACACACAGAGACACACACAGACAGACAGATGCAGATAGACACACACACAGACAGACAGACACACACACACACAGAGACACACACAGACAGACAGACACACACACACACACAGAGACACACACACAGACAGATGCAGAGAGACACATGCAAGACAGACAGACAGACAGACAGACACACACACACACACAGAGACATACACACAGACAGACAGACACACACACACACACACACACAGACAGACACACAAACACACACAGACGCAGAGAGACATGCAAGACACGCAGAGACACACACAGACGCAGAGAGACACACACACAGATGCAGACTCACACAGAGATACTGTACACGCACACACACACAAAGACACACACACACAGATGCAGACACACACAGAGAGACGCAGAGAGACACACACAGATGCAGACACACACAGAGAGACGCAGAGAGACACACACAGATGCAGACACACACAGAGAGACGTTGAGAGACACACACAGATGCAGACACACACAGAGAGACGCAGAGAGACACACACAGATGCAGACACACACAGAGAGACGTTGAGAGACACACACAGATGCAGACACACACAGAGAGACGCAGAGAGACACACAAAGACACACACACAGAGACACATACACACACAGATGCAGACACCGAAACTCACACAAGTGGTGGTAACAAATCAAAGGTCCAACAGCAAACAGAGGCAAATGTACTTAAAACTGGTGTTTGCGTACAGCTCTTAATCACAACAGCAGTCGTCTCTGAGGACTTCACAAAGTTGTCAATTCGCCAACAACAGATCAGAGAATCAGCTCTCATCGCGAAGTGTCAAGTAGGGACTCACAGGGCTCCTCTTGACAAGAGAGAGAGAGACCTGAGAGAGACCTGAGAGAGACCAGAGAGAGACCAGAGAGAGACCAGAGAGAGACCAGAGAGAGACCAGAGAGAGACCAGAGAGAGACCAGAGAGAGACCTGAGAGAGACCAGAGAGAGACCAGAGAGAGACCAGAGAGAGACCAGAGAGAGACCAGAGAGAGACCAGAGAGAGACCAGAGAGAGACCAGAGAGAGACCAGAGAGAGACCTGAGAGAGACCAGAGAGAGACCAGAGAGAGACCAGAGAGAGACCAGAGAGAGACCAGAGAGAGACCAGAGAGAGACCAGAGAGAGACCAGAGAGAAACCTGAGAGAGACCAGAGAGAGACCAGAGAGAGACCAGAGAGAGACCAGAGAGAGACCTGAGAGAGACCAGAGAGAGACCAGAGAGAGACCAGAGAGAGACCATAGAGAGACCAGAGAGAGACCAGAGAGAGACCAGAGAGAGACCAGAGAGAGACCAGAGAGAGACCAGAGAGAGACCAGAGAAAGACCAGAGAGAGACCAGAGAGAGACCAGAGAGAGACCAGAGAGAGACCAGAGAGAGACCAGAGAGAGAGACCAGAGAGAGACCAGAGAGAGACCAGAGAGAGACCAGAGAGAGACCAGAGAGAGACCAGATAGAGACCAGAGAGAGACCAGAGAGAGACCAGAGAGAGACCAGAGAGAGACCAGAGAGAGACCAGAGAGAGAGACCAGAGAGAGACCAGAGAGAGAGACCAGAGAGAGACCTGAGAGAGATAGCAGTATTTCTAAAGTGGAATCTTTAAACAATTCACAAAAACCATCAGTTTTCAGCACAAACTGAACAGAGTGCTTCAAACAGAGTCCTGTTGAGAGTGAGGGGGGAGGGGGGGGCGATGATGGGACTGTTGCCACGGACACGGATGACGTCATTGTTTACGGGGGCCGGCGAGGTAATGGCAGAGGGCACAGGTCTGACTCAACACCAGACGTGACATTTACAGAGAAGTGCTTCAGTCAGGAACGTTCAAACAGCAGCAGGTGAGAGAGGAGCCCAAATATACCTCTGCTACTGCAAATACTTCAGCTAATACTACTGCAAATACTACTGCTATTTTAAATACAGTATATGTATTTGATTATGTATATGACGTGGAGACAACAGATACAATGGACAGACCAGATGCAAGGCCTTTAGCGCTTTAGCTCGACCATTCATACTCTCTCTCTTCTCTATCTCTTTCTCTGGCCTCTCTCTGGTCTTCTGGTCTACCTCTCTCTGGTCCCTCTCTGGTCCCTCTCCGGTCTCTCTCTCTGCTCTCACTGCTATCTTTCTGCCCTCTCTCTGGTCTATCTCTGGTGTCTCTCTCTTCTCTCTCTCTCTCTCTCTCTCTCTCTGGTGTCTCTCTCTTCTCTCTCTCTCTGGTCCCTCTCTGGTCTCTCTCTGGTCTCTCTCTGGTCTCTCTCTGGTATCTTTCTCTTCTCTTTCTCTCTGGTCCCTCTCTGGTCCCTCTCTTTGCTCTCTCTGGTCTTTCGCAACTCTCTCTCTGGTCTCTCCCTCTGCTCACTCTCTGGTCAATCACACCAGTTGTGTCTGGAGTAATGGGCCAGAATTCCAGCCAAAAAATATATGCACTTTTTACAAGCTCTTGTGTCTCCACTATGTGAATCAATCTCTCATATCAGTTTTATTCTCAGGGCACATCCCATAATAAAGATTGTCCTCATCTGGCGTTGTTTTGATGTCGTCACGGTTAAATTTAGCCTGTGATCTTGAGACGGAAGATCACGCCACACTTTCAAGTCAGAGCAATGTGTCAGAACGTGTCATTCATTAATTCCATGCTGAGAATTTCTAATAAAAAGAGTCATCAACTGCGCGGACAATCTCACATGATCTATGGTTCTCACTTATGGTTCACACTTATGGTTCTCACTTATGGTTCTCACACAGTCTATGGTCCTGACGATAGGCTAGTGTTGACCTGGTTCTGACTATGACTTTACCGGAGTTTAAAGAAGCCATAGCAACACAATGATTACTGTCAGCAGTTAGCATTTAGCATTAGCTTTTCGACAAACGTTTGCTATATTAGAGGTTAAAGAAGTATACCCGAGTTTTTTTCTATTGAGTTAATAAAAATCCGTATAACTACATACAAGTTGTATTAAAAACTGTAATTTAATTGAAAACTGGAGCTCATTGATTCAGCATAAGCATGAGTTTAGGTCATTCAAAGCGCTGAGATGACTTATAGCGTCACACTCGCTCTCCTCCACTCACAAGGTTGCGTCCTCTCGCCTCTACAGCGCTGCTAAACACAGTAGCATGTTAGCATAAGTGGCTATAACTCCTCTTACTGTAACTGCAGCATGGATGTATTATATTAACTGGATAGGGTGTTACTAGCTTGTAGCTGAATAACTCACGTGCTCAGGGGATTCTCGCGGTACTGCAGACTGAACCAGACTAAATTCACGTGGGCTACCCAGAAATTTTCCCCATAGAACTCAATGCATATTAAAACAGCTCAACCTCAGCTGACAGAGAACCTACAGCTTTAATAAAGATCGGATTTTGTGGGGATTTTAGTGTCCCTTGTCGTCCTGAACTTTTTTTCTTCTTAAATCCTTTGGTTTTGTTTAAATCCACACTTTAGTGCCACAAACTCTGCTCCTCTGGCTCTCGCTCTAACTCCCGCTCTGATGAACTGCTCTGATTGGTCAGAGCGCGGCCGAGCCCCTCTGTGCACGTGCGTGAGACCCGGTGTGAGACCCACACACGTGTGTTTGGCGCAACGCATTATGGGAGATCATCCACTGCACAGAACCGGGAGGACCAGACGATGCCCAAATACAGGCGAGTTTCCCATAGATCTTTGCGAGTTTCAGGCGACTTCCGCTAATCTTTCAGCCCCCATGCCGTCACAAAGCGCCACTGAGCACAACCATTCATTTGAATAGGGCGCCATCTTGGATCGCCGGGGCTTGAACTGCAGACACAACAAAACAGCCCAAATGACACAACAGTGAGGAAGAGAAGAGGGAACTGAAGCGGAAAAATGATCAAAGAAGAAATCAAGCCCGGGTGAACATAGCTAGCTTACATCGTATCCTCTGGAGAGACCTGCGGGACCACCTCGGACTACGCTCGGACTATCTGTGCTCGGACTACATTCGGACGCGGAACTAGCGGTAGTCGTTCAGTTATATATTTTGTTAGCGGTGCGTTGCTTTTGTACCATTGCATCAGTGATTGTTGTACAGCTTAAGTTGCGCTAATGCTAATATTAGCATCAGATCGCAAATACAACTAGATGGCTCCGAGGGATGAGAGGGCAGGGGAAATGAGAAGCCTCTGAGCGAGTTGGGGGGGCGGTGCTAAACATTCAAACCTTGCAGAAATGGGTATCGCTCTTTTAATGAATGTGAGTAAAGGTAAATAAATAAAAATAAAACATACAAATTGCTTAATTTCAATAAAAGTGGAGAAACAAGTAATATAAATGTTTGGATTTTTTTCAGAAATCCATTAATCAGAGTGCTAGTGTTCAGCAGTTTACAAAGTATGTTTTACTTCATTCATTCTGTTCAATGTCTTTATGTTGAACCCAAAATCACAACCGCAGGACTGTCGATTCACCAAGAGCAGACTAGAAAATCAAACATAATAGAACACCTTAACATATATATAATGACAATTACAAGATTACTATTGCAACAACACATCATCAGTGTCGACCAAACTAACACAGCAGACCTCAGACCAGAGCCGGTCTCCCTCGCTGGGTCTGGACCAGGTCTGGAGCAGGACTTACCAGGACTCTCCCAGTGAGCGTCTGGGCTGAGATCATGACCCCTGCCCAGTCCTTCACAGAGGTCATCCAGCCGACCTCACTGGCCCCTGGGTCGTCCTTCTCTCCACGCTTCGCCGCCTCGGTGGTCATCACACGGTGCACATCCTGAAGACCACAGAAGAAGATGCAGAGACAGTGAGACTAAGGGAAAGGTTTCAGAATAAAACATTTAGAATCGCTGACGAGGTGATGGACTTGAGCGTAATTCAAAAGCCTCATTCACACTGCGCAAAAACACAGGAACATCAAACAAAAACACTAAACTAAACTTTGACTTAATCTGGTCTAAAAATGGATTTAACCGGAACATTTCATGATTTCATGTCCTTTGCTCCTCTCTATGGTCTCTCTCTCTAGTCTCTCCCTCTGGTCTCTCTAGTCTCTCCCTCTGGTCTCTCTAGTCTCTCTCTGGTCTCTCTCTGGTCTCTCTCTGGTCTCTCTATCTGGTCTCTCTCTCTGGTCTCTCTTTCTGGTTTCTCTCTCTTCTCTCTGGTCTTATCTCTGGTCCCTCTCTGGTCTCCCTCTGGTCTCTCTCTCTGGTCTCTCTCTGGTCTCTCTCTCTGGCCTCTCTATCTGGCCTCTCTCTCTAGTCTCTCCCTCTGGTCTCTCTCTCTGGTCTCTCCCTCTGGTCTCTCTCTAGTCTCTCCCTCTGGTCTCTCTCTCTGGTCTCTCTCTCTAGTCTCTCTCTGGTCTCTCTCTCTGGCCTCTCTATCTGGCCTCACTCTCTGGTCTCTCCCTCTGGTCTCTCTCTCTGGTCCCTCTCTCTGGTCTCTCTCTCTGGTCTCTCTCTCTCTGGTCTCTCTCTCTGGTCTCTCTCTCTGGTCTCTCTCTCTGGTCCCTCTCTCTGGTCTCTCTTTCTGGTTTCTCTCTCTTCTCTCTGGTCTTATCTCTGGTCCCTCTCTGGTCTCTCTCTCTGGTCTCTCTCTCTGGTCTCTCTCTCTGGTTTCTCTCTCTGGTCTTATCTCTGGTCTCTCTATGGTCTCTCTATAGTCTCTCTATAGTCTCTCTCTGGTCTCTCACAAAAACCGTAAACTAAACTTGGGCTTTAACTTAAACATGGATTCAACCTGGTCCAAACCTGGTCTAAACTCAGCCTATCAGACTCTTTGGGCTGAGAGCGGATGTTTCTGACACCCCTGGACCAGAGCGTCTTTCAATAGCCTCATTCCCACTGCGCAAAAACACAGAAATGTTGTACAAAAACTCAAAGTTCCCTTTCGTCGCACACTGAGCTGGTTCTGTGTCAAATCAACCGCCGCACGACCTATCCTAGTCTTTTCTGTCTGAAAAAGCAGATCTAAAGCTGAGACAGGGGCCAAAAGTGATAGAAGCAAACTGTTTTGAGTGCCAGGAACCACTGACGTTAGATAGATAAGTTACATGGTCATTTCTTGTGGTTTGACAGTTACGTACCCCAGCTTTAATCTAGCATTGGAGGGGACCTTTAACTCCATGGACCAAAACAACCTTTAAAGTAGTACTAGAATTTAATATGCTGCTATCCAGAATATATAACTACAATATGTGTTTATAATATTTCGGGTGTTCATTTTGATATGTTCAGATGAATTATGTTAAAAAAACTGCTTTGAAGTGGCACCTTTTCACTTCCGCATAGAAGCGCTAGGGGGAGCCAAAATGGCGGCGATGACGTAGGAGAAGGACCTCTCACAGCAGCAGCAGCAGTCTTAGCTGGAAACTGTAGGAGGTTTCACTGTCATCTGAACAAGGTATAAACATATTTTCATCTGTTTTGTACATAATAGTGCGCAACTCTTTTAACCTTTTAAGGCGCGTTCAGACCAAAAGCTTCAAAAAGCTTTTGACGCGCTTCAACTGACGCCGGGATAGTTTTGTCATTTTGGTGCTTGAAGCTTTTGACGCGAGTGACGCGAGTGACGCGCCTGACGCCGGTGGGAGGAGCTTCTCTGTTGTCTGTGGGAGGAGCTTCTCTGTTGTCTGTAGTCAGGACAGCGGTGGATTTTTCAATGAGCAGCGAGCCTTTATTTGTTATATAAAGCAAAATAACGTTGTTGTAGGGCTTCAACAAAACATGTTCTGGGTTCACCACAGACTTGAGAGGCTGCAGTGTTTGCAGAGTTCCATCATTTACTCCCGGAGCTGCATACGGAGGAGTCTCGCTTTCAGCGGTACTTCCGCATGTCACTCGCCCAGTCTGAGTTCTCAAACCCCGGAGCTCGCCTCTCCCCGCCTCGCTCTCGCCTCTCCCCGCCTCGCTCTCGCTTCTCCGCGGCTCTCGCTCGCCCGGAGCTGCCTTGCTCTGAGCCAGACTCATCGTCAGCCTGTTCTTATTTTAAATAAACTACGTTTACTACACAGCATGTGTACAATGATTTTTGTTACTCAGAACGTTACTACTCATACAAATAATATTACTAATAACAATAATGACAATAAAACAGCAGCAGATACATGACTTCTCTCCATGACAGAGACAGACCCTCTGCTGCTGCTGCTCCTCGTCTCCTGATTGGTTGAAGCCCGCGTCAAAGCTTCAAAAGCTCAGCTTTGCTCAACTTCGGCGTCAAAGGGATTGTTTTGATACGCGAGCGTTACGAGCGTCAAAAGCTTCAAGTGAGCGCGTAGTACGCGCGACCTTTGAAGCTTTTGACGCGCGTCAAGTGACGCCGGGCCCCTCGGCTTCACCTGACGCGCTTCACCATTCACTTTCAATGGAAACCTGACGCTTTTGACGCCGAAGTTAAGTCCGGTGTGAACGCCCCTTTAGCCTTATTTGTGAGATTCAAGCTAATTAGTGTTGGGCAAGTTAGCTAACTCTACTTGATATCATAAAACATGCTAACAAGGCTAATATTCGTTTTTACATTATGCCAGTCTCACTTTGGTTGCCTTAGATTTATTTACTACAATGTACATTGAAAATATCCATAAATGCTAATCAAAATAACTTGAATAAAATAAATATTTTACTTTTATGAACAAAAAGCTGCAGAAGTTGAAAACATAGACTACATGCGATGCAATCATTGATAAAAATGCTAATTAAACCGTTAATAGGTGTTAGCATTTTTGAATATTACAATGTACATTGTAGTAAATAAATCTAAGGCAACCAAAGTGAGACTGGCATAATGTAAAAACTAATATTAGCCTTGTTAGCATGTTTTATATCAAGTAGAGTTAGCTAACTTGCCCAACACTAGTTAGCTTGAATCTCACAAATAAGGCTAAAAGGTTAAAAGAGTTGCACACTATTATGTACAAAACTGATGAAAATATGTTTATACCTTGTTCAGATGACAGTGAAACCTCCAACAGATTCCAGCTAAGACTGCTGCTGCTGCTGTGAGAGGTCCTTCTCCTACGTCATCGCCGCCATTTTGGCGCCCCCTAGCGTTTCTATGCGGAAGTGAAAAGGTGCCACTTCAAAGCAGTTTTTTTAACATAATTCATCTGAACATGTCAAAATGAACACCCGAAATATTATAAACACATATTGTAGTTATATATTCTGGATAGCAGCATATTAAATTCTAGTACTACTTTAAGGGTCTGTAAACGTCCTGTATCTGCTCCTTATGCTTTAGATGTCCTGCTCTTTTATCTCCCCAAGATCACAAATGCAGAAGCGTCCGGTCCTCCTCCCCTCCTCCTCCCCTCCTCTCTCTCCCCCGTCTCCCCCTCTGCTCCTGTTTCATTAGGGAAAATGAGGCAGAGAAATTGAATCACGTTCATGTTGATTAGTGACAGAGCAGAGAGTTCAGGCCTCGAGCTTCTCAGACTCAGATCGCAGCAACCCTGAGGGAACACTACAGGTTTGAGAGGGAAAGATTATAAAACATGTAGAAAGAACCCAGTGAGTCACTTTTTCCCTGGTCGCTCTGGTCTCTTGTCTCTCTCTGGTCTCTCTCTTGTCTCTCTCTCTCGCTGTTCTCTCTCTGGTCTCTCTCTCTCTCTCTCTGGTCTCTCTGATCTCTCTCTCTCTCTCTCTCTCTCTCCCTCTGTTCTCTGATCATGTAGATAACAGGTACAATAAGTTTATGTTTAATATTCTGTGGAACCGCAGCCGCACAGTTCATTCATCACATGTAAATTTCATGCAAAACACTTGAGTCACAGATAAGAAAGTTGAAGTCATCTGCTCCGCTCTCTGGTCTCTCTCTGGTCTCTCTCTGGTCCCTCTCTGGTGTCTCTCTGGGATCTCTCTGGTCTCTCTCTGGTCTCTCTCTGGTCTCTCTCTGGTCTCTCTCTGGTCTCTCTCTGGTCTCTCTGGTCTCTCTCTCTGATCTCTCTCTGGTCTCTCTCCGGTCTCTCTCTGGTCTCTCTCTGGTCTCTCTCTCTGGTCTCTCTCTGGTCTCTCTCTCTGGTCTCTCTCTGGTCTCTCTCTCTGGTCTCTCTCTCTGATCTCTCTCTGGTCTCTCTCTGGTCTCTCTCTGGTCTCTCTCTCTGGTCTCTCTCTCTGGTCTCTCTCTCTGGTCTCTCTCTCTGGTCTCTCTCTCTGGTTTCTCTCTCTGGTCTCTCTCAGGTCTCTCTCAGGTCTCTCTCTGGTCTCTCTCTGGGGTCTCTCTCTCAGGTCTCTCTCTCTGGTCTCTCTCTGGTCTCTCTCTAGTCTCTCTCTGGTCTCTCTCAGGTCTCTCTCTGGTCTCTCTCTCAGGTCTCTCTCTGGTCTCTCTCAGGTCTCTCTCAGGGTTCTCTCTGGTCTCTCTCTAGTCTCTCTCTGGTCTCTCTCTGGTCTCTCTCTGGTCTCTCTCTAGTCTCTCTCTGGTCTCTCTCAGGTCTCTCTCTGGTCTCTCAGACAGTGTACACCTCTCATAGTAAACTATTTATGAGCTTTTCAACTCTGACCAATGATATGTCGCTGGAACCTGATCCAGCAGAAGAACGAGGACAAGACAAAAGCCAAGACCAGCAACAGTAAACAGGGACCATGTGTGAATCTATGAGACCTCTGTGCAGACTGTGGGAGACTGCCAGATACTGTCTGTTTATGGTACGGCAATAACGTTAAAGGGAACATAACATAAAAATTTACTTTTCACAGCTTTTGCCCATGTTATCATTGTTTTTCATTGTCATATACAAACTCTCTAGTGTCTCTACCTTGTCTCTACCTGGTCTCTCTGGTCTCTCTCTGGTCTCTCTCTGGTCTCTCTCTTGTCTCTCTCTGGTCTCTCTGGTCTCTCTCTGGTCTCTCTCTGGTCTTTCTCTGGTCTCTCTCTGGTCTCTCTCTGGTCTCTCTCTGGTCTCTCTCTGGTCTCTCTCTGGTCTCTCTCTGGTCTTTCTCTGGTCTCTCTCTGGTCTCTCTCTTGTCTCTCTCTGGTCTCTCTCTGGTCTTTCTCTGGTCTCTCTCTGGTCTCTCTCTGGTCTTTCTCTGGTCTCTCTCTGGTCTCTCTCTGGTCTCTCTCTGGTCTTTCTCTGGTCTCTCTCTGGTCTTTCTCTGGTCTCTCTCTAGTCTTTCTCTGGTCTCTCTCTGGTCTCTCTCTCTGGTCTCTCTCCCTGGTCTCTCTGGTCTCTCTCTCTGGTGTCTCTCTGGTCTGGTCTCTCTCCGGTCTCTCTCTCTGGTCTCTCTCTCCGGTCTGTCTCTGGTCTGTCTCTGGTCTCTTTCTTGTCTCTCTCTCTCGTCTCTTACTCTCTGGTCTCTAACTCTCTCGTCTCTTGCCCTGGTCTCTCTCTACGGTCTGTCTCTGGTCTCTCTTTCTTGTCTCTCTCTCTGGTCTCTCTGGTCTCTCTCTCCGGTCTGTCTCTGGTCTCTCTTTCTTGTCTCTCTCTCTGGTCTCCTTCCCTCTCTGGTCTCTCTGGTCTCTCTCTCTTGTTTATCATACATATATTTAACTTGTTTGTAAGTAATATTTTATTTCTATAAGGGGGAAAGAAATTTTGTACCACAGATTAGAGCTGTATACATATTTTCCGAAGCTGTATTATTTTACTTTTAAAACAAACAGAATCCATCCATCCATCCATCCATCTTCTTCCCCTTAATCCATTTCTGGGTCGGGGGGGTGGCAGTCAGGGCTGCACCCAGTCCACAGAGCACCAGCCCCTCACTGATCCTCCTGCAGGTGGTGAGTCCACAGGAGCTGAGATCTTTCAGCGGGGGCTTCAGGCAAAGTGGGGTTAAGTGTCTTGCCCAAGGACAGTCATCAGTGGGAGTCGTGAAGTAGGTCTTACGGTGGGCTCGAACCCACGACCTTCAGGCCCAAAGGCTAATGCTCTGCCAACTGAGCTACTCTCGCCCCTTGAGAGGAATCAGAAAAACAAACGGAATCATAAAAAATATCAATGAAATTCCATATTTTTCCAGCAGGCCACTCTGCTCTCTCTCTCTCTCTCTCTCCTCACACACACACACACACACACACACACACTTCCTGTTTCCTCTGCGGTCGCCACTGACAACGGTATCCACGGACAACTGTATCCACTGACAACTGTTCCCATGCAACGCTAACACACACACACACACACACACACACACAGCTCTCCTCGCGCCTCGGCATCTCTGCTTTTCTTGACGCTTCCGAACAGGTGCGAGAAAAGCCGAGATCGAGGATTTAGACAAAAATCAATCTGAATAAATGAAATAAAAAGAGTGAAGAGTGATTTGTGGCCGACGCAGAGGAACAGAATGTGCTGCAGAAGTCTCTGATCCACGGCAACAAGAGCTGTGAAAACTGAAGAATGCATTTGGTTTTTAGTTTAAGACCAAGAATTGTACTTGACGTCTGTCTCTGGTCTCTCTTTGGTGTCTCTCTCTTGTCTCTCTCTCTCTCTCTCTCACTGTCCTCTCTCTCTCTTCTTTCTCTCTCTCCTCTATCTCTGGCCTCTCTCTGGTCTCTCCCTAGTCTTTCTCTTTGGTCTCTCCCTAGTCTCTCTCTCTGGTCTTTCTCTGGTCTTTCTCTGGTCTTTCTCTGGTCTCTCTCTAACTCTCTCTCCTCTCTCACTCTCCTCTCTCTTGTCTCTCTCTGCTCTCTCTCTATCTCTTGTCTCTCTCTCCATTCTCTGCTCTCTCTTTTCTCTATCTCCTCTCTTCCTCGCTTGTCTCTCTAGCTGCTTCTTCTCTCTCCTCCCTCTCTCTGCTCTCTCTCTCAGTGTGTTCTGTAGTGACATTGCAGACAGATCTCTCTCATTCTGAGGCGATAGCAGCAGTTTCCAGACGGAGCCCTGACCTTTTACAAACACAGCTCTAACAAAACGTCTACATTAAAGTTTCTTCACGTCGTTTATGGACCAGAGCAGGACAGAAACACTGCATCATCAGATCCAAAACCAGACTTTATCATGTTATCATTATATATTTTCTCTTGATCAACTCCAAAGATTACAGTTTACAAACATATCTGTGACGGTGTTCTCCTTATTCATCTATGAACGCAGATGTGAGAGGTCCATCCATCCACCCTCTCTCTTTCTCATCTCTCTCTTTTCTCTTTCTGGTCTTTTTATGGTCTCTCTCTGGTCTCTCTCTCTGGTCCCTCTCTCTCTGGTCTCTCTTATCTCTCTCTGGTCTCTCTCTGGTCTCTCTTATCTCTCTCTAGTCTCTCTCTTGTCTCTCTCTTGTCTCTCTCTTGTCTCTCTCTTATCTCTCTCTGGTCTCTCTCTCTCTGGTCCCTCTCTCTCTGGTCTCTCTTATCTGTCTCTGGTCTCTCTCTGGTCTCTCTTATCTCTCTCTGATCTCTCTCTGATCTCTCTCTGGTGTCTCTCTGGTCTCTCGAACCCCCTCTAGTCTTTCTTTGGTCTCTCTCTGGTCTCTCTCTAGTCTCTCTCCAGTCTCTCTCTGGTCTTTCTCTGGTCTCTCTCTAGTCTCTCTCTCTCTGGTCTCCCGCTAACTCTCTCTAGTCTCTCTCTGGTACCTCCATTAAAAATAGTAAGTTAAATATGAACACCATCATCACCCTTTAAAACCTCATCATTATAATCTGCAGTCGTTAATAACCTGCTCTTTACAAAACTGTCTGGTCTCCTGAAAGAATGAACTAAACTCTAAAAATCTCAACAACAACAAAAAAAAATTAACGACATGAGGAGTTAGCCATAAAACCAACTGACTCTGAGGAGCACAGGGACTGGTCTCCTGCTGGTCCCAGAGCCAGGACTAAACTAAAGAAGGCAGCGTTTCAGAATTATGTCGCTAAAATCTGTAGCAGTTTTCCTGAAAATGTGAGACAGGCTTCTTCTCTGACAATGTTCAAATCCAGGTTAAAAACAAATTAGCTGTAAATACAACATTACTCTTTTTTAATGTACCGCAATCATTTGTTTTGTTCAGCACTTTGAGTTGCCTTTATACGGACTGTGCTACACAATTAAACTTCCTGTTCTTATAATTGACTAAAAGACTACACATATACAGCCCTGTATGTGCTTTCTTCTTTGTTAAGCTAAAGTTAGAGTTAATTTATATTATGCTGTTTCTTCCTCATTCCTACTGTTCTGTGACTGATGATGCAACACTGAAATTTCCCCAATGAGTGACAATGTAGCCATAACCTGTGAATAATCTCAATCTTAATCTTAAAGGCATACAGGAGGATTTCCCCAATTTTTTTTAAGAACCGGCCTCTCCACAAAACTCTCCGGTCTTTTTTGACGAGCACGTATCACCAGAATGACTGACCAATAGTCTTGATGATCCACCCGGAAGTAGAAAATCCTCCTGTACTCACCTTTAACAGAAACCAATACAGACTGACGTAAACTATACAGCGCGCTTACGTGTTGAATGTACCACTGTATGGACCAACTTATTTACCTTTTTCTTGGCTTTGCAGTGGCAGCACACGGTCCACATGTATTTGAGGGTCCTCCAGAGCAGAATGATGAAAAGACCCCCGAAGAAAGTGACCATGGAGGAGGCGAGGAAAGCCCACCACATCCGCTGCCCGTTACTGTCGCACGGTACATCCGGAGAGAAGGGAATTATCACATTCATTTTGGAGAACTGCACAGACGGCCCCGGGTTGAACCTCTCCCTGCTGCTCTTCGGCATCGTGAGGGTTAAATACGAGCGGTGTTTTTTGGGTTTTTTTGAGGCAGAACACAGGTGGAAATCAGGCGAATGTTCCGTAATGATGGGGGACCTCTGTGGCCGTCGCCCCCAGGGATAGGCACCTTCGTTCGGCCATGCTCGCACCCACCACCGCCCGCTGTCCTGGAGGCTCCACACCTGCTTCTCAAAACAAAACACGCAAAAAAGACACAAAAACCACACACACACAACGCAAAACTTGGATTCAGACGCACAGATCAGCGCGTCATGATGGAGGGAGGATGGCTGCGTCTTTCACAGCCGCGCGTAAAATTGTTCCATTAAAAGAAAAGACAGAAAGTAGAGCAGATTTAGGCCAAGTTACGCAGCGTTTGGACTCCGTTTGAGTTCATACAAACGCAGGGTAATCCGATTTAGAGGCACATTCGATGCTGGGGGGAAAGAGAGGAGCACACTGTTGAATGCGAGGAGAGAAAGTACCCAAAATCCTCTGGCGGCTGGCGCTGATGCCGACTGCAAAGACTCCCAAACCCGGGTCCGCTTCGTGCGTAATGTTGGTGGGTTTTGTGGTTCGCAGGCAGTTTTTTTGAGGGTGGTTTTTCTCTCCGTGCGTGTCTCTCTGGGCGCGTTCTGCTTGTTATGGAGAATATGGCATCGCTTGGTTCGCGCAGGTGGAGCCGTGAGAGAAGCGCGCACAGAGGGGAGAGAGAGAGGAGGGAGAGAGAGGGAGAGAGAGAGAGAGAGAGAGGGAGAGAGGGAGAGGGAGGGAGAGAGAGGGGGAGAGAGAGGGGGGGAGAGAGAGAGACGCGCGGGAGGAGGAGCGTCTCCAACGGGTTATTTATAGTGAGCTCCATGCTTTTCATCCATTTTGAATTATTTTAACTTTGCATCGCGCGTAATAAGGAAGATTTTACGTGTTGCTACTTGAGAATGTGTCCATAAAACACATACAATTATTTTTAAAAAAGATAGTTATATAGACAGTTCATTCAATACTGTTTATTTGTGTATAGACCTAAATCACAACAGCAGTCGTCTCGGAGAACTGGTCGAAGTTGTGGATTACTCAACAACAGATCAGAGAATCAGACAGGGAATCAACACAGGAAATGCAATGATAGGAGCCATTGGTCCAGACTGTAGACCCAGGACTGAGGCTGTAGACCCAGGACTGAGACTGTAGACCCAGGACTGAGACTGTAGACCCAGGACTGAGACTGTAGACCCAGGACTGAGACTGTAGACCCAGGACAGAGGCTGTAGACCCAGGACTGAGACTGTAGACCCAGGACTGAGACTGTAGACTCAGGACTCAGACTGTAGACCCAGGACTGAGACTGTAGACCCAGGACTGAGACTGTAGACCCAGGACTGAGACTGTAGACCCAGGACAGAGGCTGTAGACCCAGGACTGAGACTGTAGACCCAGGACAGAGGCTGTAGACCCAGGACTGAGACTGTAGACCCAGGACTGAGGCTGTAGACCCAGGACTGAGGCTGTAGATCCAGGACTGAGCCATGGGAGACCAGTCCTCAGGTGTAGATAAGAGAAAGCTAATACCCAACTTCTTCTTTCACTTCTTTTCTGTCTGAAAAATCTGATCTAAAGCTGAGGCAGAGACAAAATACATGAGAACTAGAGAAAGAAGCAAGTATTTTGAGAGCGAGGGACTATAGTAACATTGATTGTGACGCATTTTGGGTTTGAAGGTGTTTGTTGTTGATGTATATATGCGTTTACTGCTCAAAAATATTAATTCTTACTCTTCTCCACAGATACAACCCATAACTTAAGTCTCTTGAAGCCTAAACACACAAATATTGAATCATTAAAAAGTGATTTTTCCTTTCACCTTTATGTTCATATGAGCTTAAATAATGTGCAAAAAGTGATACAAAAAGAGGTGAGAATGACGTGAGAATACGCCCCCTACTGGACCACAGCCTGAACTGCTCCAGGACTTTCCACAGGTTTCATTAGAAAAACTGAGCAGAGAATAGTCAGAAATATGTAGTAAATATAAAATATGAACGAGGTTTTTTTTATGCATTGGGGAAAAATGTGACGATTCTAGAGTATTGCGATATTTGGTCCACAATTTAATATTATAGCGATTCTTAACATATTGCGATTTCAATTCTGCGTTATGTTGCGATTCAGGTCTCTCATGTTATTCAAATACATTACAAACATGGAGACGGAACTAAAATGTAAACTTGGAGAAAACACAAAAGTGATACATTGAGTCAAATATCACAACACTTTTTTCTACTGTATCCATTTAATCGTGTGTGAATATTGCGATATTGAACAGAATCGATTGTTTCCCCAACACTGTTTTATAACGAAAGTCAAATGTTTCAACGAGAAAGTCCAGGAAATGTAACTCATGACCATCAGCTAAACACAAAAGGGAGAAACATGTGTATTGGTCTCTCTCTGGTCTCCCTCTCTGGTCTCCCTCTCTGGTCTCCCTCTCTGGTCTCCCTCTCTGGTCTCCCTCTCTGGTCTCCCTCTCATGTATATAGTAATGTGTATATATATACAGTTCCTTGCGAAAGTATTCGGCCCCCTTGAACCTTTCAGCATTTTGCCACATTTCACGCTTCAAACATAAAGATATAAAAATTAAATTTTTTGTCAAGAATCAACAACAAGTGGGACACAATCGTGAAGTGGAACGAAATTTATTGGATAATTTAAACTTTTTTAACAAATAAAAAACTGAAAAGTGGGGCGTGCAATATTATTCTAATACTTTGTAGCGCCACCTTTTGCTGCAATTACAGCTGCAAGTCACTTGGGGTATGTCTCTATCAGTTTTGCACATCGAGAAACTGGAATTCTTGCCCATTCTTCCTTGCAAAACAGCTTGAGCTCAGTGAGGTTGGATGGAGAGGGTTTGTGAACAGCAGTCTTCAGCTCTTTCCACAGATTCTCGATTGGATTCAGGTCTGGACTTTGACTTGGCCATTCTAACACCTGGATACGTCTATTTGTGAACCATTCCATTGTAGATTTGGCTTTGTTTTGGATCATTGTCCTGTTGGAAGATAAATCTCCGTCCCAGTCTCAGGTCTTTTGCAGACTCCAACAGGTTTTCTTCCAGAATGGTCCTGTATTTGGCTCCATCCATCTTCCCATCAATTTTAGCCATCTTCCCTGTCCCTGCTGAGGAAAAGCAGGCCCAAACCATGATGCTGCCACCACCATGTTTGACAGTGGGGATGGTGTGTTCAGGGTGATGAGCTGTGTTGCTTTTACGCCAAACATATCGTTTTGCATTGTGGCCAAAAAGTTCGATTTTGGTTTCATCTGACCAGAGCACCTTCTTCCACATGTTTGGTGTGTCTCCCAGGTGGCTTGTGGCAAACTTTAAACAAGACTTTTTATGGATATCTTTGAGAAATGGCTTTCTTCTTTCCACTCTTCCATAAAGGCCAGATTTGTGCTGTGCACGACTGATTGTTGTCCTATGAACAGACTCTCCCACCTCAGCTGTAGTTATCTGCAGTTCATCCAGAGTGATCATGGGCCTCTTGGCTGCATCTCTGATCAGTCTTCTCCTTGTTTGAGATGAAAGTTTGGAGGGACGGCCGGGTCTTGGTAGATTTGCAGTGGTCTGATACTCCTTCCATTTCAATATAATTGCTTGAACAGTGCTCCTTGAGATGTTTAAAGCTTGGGAAATCTTTTTGTATCCAAATCTGGCTTTAAACTTCTCCACAACAGTATCGGACCTGCCTGGTGTGTTCCTTTGTCTTCATGGTTCTCTCTGCGCTTTAAACAGAACCCTGAGACTATCAAAGAGCAGGTGCATTTATACGGAGACTTGATTACACACAGGAGCATTCTATTTATCATCATCAGTCATTTAGGACAACATTGGATCATTCAAAGATCCTCACTGAACTTCTGGAGTGAGTTTGCTGCACTGAAAGTAAAGGGGCCGAATAATATTGCACGCCCCACTTTTCAGTTTTTTATTTGTTAAAAAAGTTTAAATTATCCAATACATTTTGTTCCACTTCACGATTGTGTCCCACTTGTTGTTGATTCATGACAAAAAATTAAAATTTCATATCTTTATGTTTGAAGCCTGAAATGTGGCGAAATGTTGAAAGGTTCAAGGGGGCCGAATACTTTCGCAAGGCAAAAAGAGGCCGTGTAGAATCAGAAAACAGAGTCTGGAGTCATTTTTCATGTATTTTTCTTTATTATTTTTGTAGAAATTCGAACCTTGGATAAACAGGGACAGCTCTTAGTTAAATCTGAAATGTATTAAACAGAGATTCCCACCAAAACAACAGAAGACAGCGATCCCTTCTTCATCAGCAGCGGCGGCTAAAGTCATATATATATTTATTTATCTGTGTTTCCTTCTCGGCAAATGACTTGAAATGATAGAGAGATTATAGAACGTGTGTAGCCCCTGATTCTTCCACTATAAATAAGAACATTAAAAATACAATCTCAAAACTAATCGCTACAAGTAGAAGCTTTTTGATAACATAACATAAATTAATATGGCAGGATATACAAAAATTACATCAAAGTAAAGTGGTCCTATGTTTTAAAATAGTGTTTGTCGATAAAACTTCACGTGGTCCGTTTGTTATTCAAGTGTTTGAGCCACAGACGGTTCATAAAAGTGGAGAGAAAGACACAAGCAAAAACAGAAAAAAAAAAAGAACAACAAATTTCGACTGGTTTTAAAACATCTCAAAATTGTTTCACCTGGACCTGGAGTTAAAATAAAACCAAAACACTCATTTCTGGTGCAAATGCGTTACCTATGTTTTGTCAAAGTTTTAAACATAAAAACATCTGGAACAAAGTAAATTTTCCCAAACGAGAATTTATTTGATCCTAATCTCATTTCCCATTTACACATTTACGCTTCTCTGCTGCTGCAAACTTCAAATTCAATGAATAGTAAAATCCAGAGAGCGAGAATGAGTAAAAACCAGGAACCTAAAGTCAGAGGCGTCAGACCGGTCCTCAAAGCGCCGCTGTGGTCGCAGGTTTTCACTCCAAACAAGAAGCAGCAGACTCCGCCCCATTTACTCCAGTCCAGTCTCGACCTGAAGACCCGAGGAAGTGGGTGGAGTCTGTTGTTGCTCCTGCCTCTTCTCTGTCGAAGTGAAAACCTGCAGCCACACCGGTGCTTTGAGGAGGCAGATGTTGACAACCCTGGACTTAAATCTCAACTCTCAAACTCACTCATAAAAAAAAAAAAATTATGACGGACAATTTTACTCGCCTCCAGTTTGATATGAAGATAAATGTCTTTTTGTGTTTATGTACCGTTGTGTCAAACAATAATGATAATAATCCATGAGAGAGGGCTAGAATGTGGGAACACTGCCATCTGGTGGCAGAAGTGCAGAATTACACTTGGCTTTAATAATTTCACATTGAACGTATTAATTTGTTCATTTGTAAATAATGTAATTTGACTGATTCAAAATGGAGGCTTGTGTTTTGAAAACTGCACAAAGCAGACAAACACTGGGATTAAGTTTGAATGAAACGAGTCTCGTTGAGATTTAGAACGAGGGATTTTTTAAGACAACAAAGTTTACTTTCCAATACCATTCGTGTTCCTATGAGGTCTCCCATCACAGTACTAACCAGGCACTGCCCTACTTAGCTTCATGTGCTCGTGCTACGTTACATCATTCAACATTCCTGGTGATAAAAAAACAATTCTATTAATTTTAGAATAAAATCTGTATTTGTTCCATAAAATCCAAATAGATTATTCCCTGACTCATGCAGAAGGGGCGGGGGGATGCGTTCCTGATATTAGCGTGAAGCAGCTAACAACATCCAGGTCTGAGTGTGACAAGGATTAAACCTGCACGATGCCCAAAACGTTACAACATTTTTAACTTTTCCAAACACTGGCTCAGAGTTTTATTAGATACAAACTCGAGTCTGAACCAGTGGCCCCAAAAAATGCCACAAAAGTCTGGATTAGAATCACGCTAATGCTAATGCTAATGCTAACAATTAAGCTAGCTCAGTTCTTTGGTCCACTTTTATAGACGGTCCATGTTTGTCATATTCATTGTAAACAAGATCAATAAAGTTATGTGATGTCAGTGCTAAAAGTGAGGGCTGAGGATCCTCATGAACCAACGATTAAAGCTGGGGTCCCCAACTTTCAAATCCAAGCCCAGAAGGAACCAGTAAAACACACTGGTCTCTCACTCTCAAACTAGTAAGGCTCTATCTGTCATCTGTACCCCTCTCTCTCTCTCTCTCTGGTCTCTACCCCTCTTTCTCTCTCTGGTCTCTACCCCTCTCTCTGGTCTCTACCCCTCTCTCTGGTCTCTACCCCTCCCTCTCCCTTTATTCTTACGCAAATAGCACATATTTTTAAGAGATTTCTTTACCACTAATTGATTAGAATAGTACTTTCTCTCCCTCCTTTGCCCTCTGTTCTGACTGATCCACTTCTATATGTGTCTTTGAAGGCTAAGGGGGACCCCAGCTTGCGACGCATTCATATGAAACCAATAAAAATCCATGCTCCTGCTAAGTACAAGCCGATTCTGATTGTGATCCTCGTCCCTGCGTTTCCTACGGTGGCGTTACACGAGTGTTTTAGTCGTACCGATGTCTCATACTCTGGACAGTTTGGCCTGTGATCGGACGCTCTGATTGGCTGTGGACAGTGTGGCCTGTGATCGGACGCTCTGATTGGCTGCTGAACCGGGATCATTATGGTCTGGTTCTTCAGGGTCGTCCATCTGGGATCCACAGCACTTTGCTCTGCTCCTGCTGCACCAGAGTCAGGATCTGGGAGCAGACGGAGGAGACGCCGCTGCCCTGGACCACACCTGGAGGAGACACAGGTACAGCTTTATATAAGACCACAACAACCTGTACAGAAGAAATACAGGTATAAGGAAAGACAAGAGGATGATATTCAGTCCCTCTCTCCCTCCCACTCTGGTCTCCCTCCCACTCTGGTCTCTCTCCCACTCTGGTCTCTCTCCCACTCTGGTCTCTCTCCCACTCTGGTCTCTCTCCCACTCTGGTCTCTCTCCCACTCTGGTCTCTCTCCCACTCTGGTCTCTCTCCCACTCTGGTCTCTCTCCCACTCTGGTCTCTCTCCCACTCTGGTCTCTCTCCCACTCTGGTCTCTCTCCCACTCTGGTCTCTCTCCCACTCTGGTCTCTCTCCCACTCTGGTCTCTCTCCCACTCTGGTCTCTCTCCCACTCTGGTCTCTCTCCCACTCTGGTCTCTCTCCCACTCTGGTCTCTCTCCCACTCTGGTCTCTCTCCCACTCTGGTCTCTCTCCCACTCTGGTCTCTCTCCCACTCTGGTCTCTCTCCCACTCTGGTCTCTCTCCCACTCTGGTCTCTCTCCCACTCTGGTCTCTCTCCCACTCTGGTCTCTCTCCCACTCTGGTCTCTCTCCCACTCTGGTCTCTCTCCCACTCTGGTCTCTCTCCCACTCTGGTCTCTCTCTCCCCACTCTGGTCTCTCTCCCACTCTGGTCTCTCTCCCACTCTGGTCTCTCTCCCACTCTGGTCTCTCTCCCACTCTGGTCTCTCTCCCACTCTGGTCTCTCTCCCACTCTGGTCTCTCTCCCACTCTGGTCTCTCTCCCACTCTGGTCTCTCTCCCACTCTGGTCTCTCTCCCACTCTGGTCTCTCTCCCACTCTGGTCTCTCTCCCACTCTGGTCTCTCTCCCACTCTGGTCTCTCTCCCACTCTGGTCTCTCTCCCACTCTGGTCTCTCTCCCACTCTGGTCTCTCTCCCACTCTGGTCTCTCTCCCACTCTGGTCTCTCTCCCACTCTGGTCTCTCTCCCACTCTGGTCTCTCTCCCACTCTGGTCTCTCTCCCACTCTGGTCTCTCTCCCACTCTGGTCTCTCTCCCACTCTGGTCTCTCTCCCACTCTGGTCTCTCTCCCACTCTGGTCTCTCTCCCACTCTGGTCTCTCTCCCACTCTGGTCTCTCTCCCACTCTGGTCTCTCTCCCACTCTGGTCTCTCTCCCACTCTGGTCTCTCTCCCACTCTGGTCTCTCTCCCACTCTGGTCTCTCTCCCACTCTGGTCTCTCTCCCACTCTGGTCTCTCTCCCACTCTGGTCTCTCTCCCACTCTGGTCTCTCTCCCACTCTGGTCTCTCTCCCACTCTGGTCTCTCTCCCACTCTGGTCTCTCTCCCACTCTGGTCTCTCTCCCACTCTGGTCTCTCTCCCACTCTGGTCTCTCTCCCACTCTGGTCTCTCTCCCACTCTGGTCTCTCTCCCACTCTGGTCTCTCTCCCACTCTGGTCTCTCTCCCACTCTGGTCTCTCTCCCACTCTGGTCTCTCTCCCACTCTGGTCTCTCTCCCACTCTGGTCTCTCTCCCACTCTGGTCTCTCTCCCTCTCTGGTCTCTCTCCCTCTCTGGTCTCTCTCCCTCTCTGGTCTCTCTCCCTCTCTGGTCTCTCTCCCTCTCTGGTCTCTCTCCCTCTCTGGTCTCTCTCTGGTCTGACGTCATTCAATATGTTTTTTTGAGAAAACTTCTGGTGAATGTGAATCGGAGGAGAGTTTCTGCTCCTGTCCTTGAAGCACAATAGTTTATGTTCAGAAAGAGAGAAATCCGTTGGCAAAGAAGCAGACGTGCATACAAGCGTCGCCACTGACGACGAAGCAGGAGCAACGAGGGGAAAGGCTGTTGTAGCTCAAACAGACAAGAAGGTTTTTCCTAACTCAGAGAGAGGGACCAGAGAGGTCACCTTTTTCTCTATCGGGTTTCTCTCTCTCTCTGGTCTCTCTCTCTCTCTAGTATTTCTCCCTCTAGGAAAGTCTCAAACCAGTTCACACCACACACAGCTGCCAAGATTTCCATCATACATTTGTATTTTCATTTTACCAGTGAAGAAGCGTCCAAACTCTTGCTCCACTTTCTGAGCCGCGTCGAAAATCTCTTTGGAATTTTTCAGCGAGAGTTTGTCTCGGAGGTAAAGAGGGTCTTTCTGCTCCCTGCAAACACATACATACATACATACAAGGTTAGAAGGGAATTTTAGAGACCAGATAGAAACCAGTGAGAGACTAGAGGCTAGAAAGACGGAGAGCAACCAGAGAGAGAGACCAGAAAATAGAGACAGAGACCAAAGAGAGGTATGACACGACCACAGGAAAACATTGAAAATACCATTGTGTGGGGAAAAAAAACAAAAAAAACAAAAATGAAAAACAAAAATATCAAATCTAATCTGATTCAGAAAACCCAGTCGATCTCTAGTTTCTAACCACATCTCATCTTGTATATCCATGACGCCAGGCAGAGAGAGAGACAAGAGAGACACCAGAGAGACTAGAGAGAGACAAGAGAGACCTGAGTGAGAGATCAGAGAGATAGACAAGAGACGACAGAGAGAGACCACAGAGAGAGAGAAGAGGGAAGATCAGAGAGAGAGAGACCAGAGAGATAAGGCCAGAGAGAAACAAGAGCGGGAGAGAGCAGAGGGAGAGAGACCCTTCCCCAGGTTTTCCAGGACTGAAGAGAGCCCTCAGAGACACAAATCCTTTTTCAATTTACGTCATCTTCTTCATGACACCAATGCTGCTAATCTGTGTGAGACTGAGGCCGAACCACAGCAGCTGCCAACCCACTGGCCCTTTGTATTAGAACCATTGTGGTAGGTTTATAGTATAGAACCATCAGCAGACTAACTATGATGGTACACACATATGCGGTATTTGAGGCACAGATATAAATAATATTTCACTCCAGTCCAGAGAGAGAGAGGCCAGAGACAGAGGCCAGAGACAGAGTAAAAACAGAGACCAGAGAGAGAGACCAGAGACCAGTGACAGAGACCAAAGACAGGGACCAGAGAGAAAAACCAGAGGCCCGAGAGAGAGACCAGAGACAGAGACCAGAAACCAGAGGGAGAGAAAAAACAAGAGGCCAGAGACAGAGGCCAGAGAGAGAGACAGAGACCAGAGACAGAGGCCAGAGACCAGAGACAGACCAAAGAGAGCAGAGAGAACGCCTCTAACTTTTTGACACTGGTGCTCGTGCGAATCTCTGTGCTCTGTCGGCGGTGAGAGGGCCGGCTCCCGCGAGACTCAGACGCTGGACAGATGGCTTTCAGCTGATGATGGCTTAACTTTGGCACCGTCCAATCCTCGCTGCTCATAGACGGCGTCCCCACTGGGTCAAACCACTCGCCAGATTAACGCCACCGCAATCAGAAATGAAAAAGGCAAAGACCGCGGCCGCACGACGGGAACCAGAGGAGCAGGTGGAGGCCGCGCAAAAGTAATCAGTCTGATCAATTGGCTTTTCCCAATGCCGTCATGTGACGCAAGCGGACATGAGGGCCTTCCTGTTTATGCCATAGGGAGAGATTTAAGTGAATAGGGGAATGATTGAGTGATGAGGGAAGCATTGAATTGGATTTGAGTGGAGTTAAGCAGAAGAATGTATGTGTGTAGATAACATGATGTCCTCTGTGGAGAATCAGATGTCCCGGTTTGTTTGTGTGGTTTTATTACGTAAAGTTAAGTTCAATGTATTTGTGTGTCGTCCTCTGTCAGAACAGCAGTCGTCTCGGAGGACTTAACGTGGTGGATTTGCCAACAACAAATCAGACAATCAATGGTCCATACGAAGACAATGGTCCATAGGGAGAGGGATGACCAATGTCCAGGATTGGTTGTAGAAATTAGGGCTGAAAGATATATTGATAAAATATCGTTATTGGGATATTGGTGCGTGTTATATCCATATCGAAAAGATCTGCTGTTAATTATTTTTTTAATGTATATATATACTGTATATATTTTCCTTTATTAAAGACAACAAAACAGACACATCAACATTCAACAAGAATAGACAAAAACGTATATAAATATATGCATTTGAATTTGAATAATTTGCTCCAATCACCAGCCACCCTCCTCTATAAAGGCCCCTGCACAAGGCCGCACCCCCTCTTTCACTCTGGCGCCGTTTGAGATCTACCACAGTACTTCCTTCATTCTGAGATGTCTTCCTTGTTTGTCCGAGTTCCCCTTCGCCCTCCGGCGTCGGACGTCGTCGCTGGAGGGATCCCAGGCGTTGCCCGCTGGAGGGGGTCCTGGGATTCCTACAGGAGCTTTTTGACAAAGGGAGGGCTGTCGCCACCTTGGCGGTGTTCGCGGCAGCCATTACCTCGGGTCACGACGGATTCGGGGGTTTCACAGCCCGCTCTCATCCGTTGGTTAAACGTGTTCTGCGGGGGGCGCGCAGGGGGAGGCCCCCACTTCAGAGAACGCCCCCGGTTTGGGACCTCAGGGTGGTCCTTAGGGGGCTGTCGGGTCCGCCTTTTGAACCGGCGGCGGAGGCGAGTCCCGAGTGTGTCGCTTTTAAGACGGCCCTCTTGCTGGCGTTGGCGTCTGCTAAGAGGGTGGGCGACTTGTGTGCGCTCTCCGTCCATGCGTCTTGCCTGTCCTTTGGAGAGGGCGACGGCCTGGTGGAATTGTGGCCCAATCCGGCCTTTTCTCCCCAAGGTCCTCGCGTCGGCCTTTAGGTCGAGAGTCATCAGGATTAGGGCTTTCTATCCGCCACCGCATGCCTTCCCCGAGGAGGAGCGGCGGCACCTTGTGTGTCTTGCCAGAATGCTTAGGCATTACCTGGCCATGACGTCGTCATTCAGGTTGGGTGATCAGTTGTTGTGTGTCTGGGCCCCAAGAACAGGGGCGCCCCGCTGTCGGCTCAGCGGCTGGCGCACTGGGTCGCCACGGCTGTGCGGCGGGCGTATCAGGCGCAGGCAGGGTCTGGCCCCCCGGTGGGCTTCAGGTCGCATTCCACGTGTGGGATGGCGGCCTCTACGGCCCTTCTCAGGGGGGCGTCGTTCGAGGAGGTCTGCCGTGCGGCTTCTTGGGCGTCGTCCTCTTCTTTCGTCCGGTCTTATCTTTTGGATGTGTCGGACCGGTCGGTGGCCCATTCCGTGCTGAGTGCAGCGGACTGAGTTGAGACCGTTAGGTCCCTCCTCTGAGGGGGCCTTCGGTTGACTTTCCGCTCTGGTTCAGGAGCTCTTGGGAGAGGCATCCTACAGGTGCGGTACTTATATGTGTGCTTTGGTCAATCAGGTAGTCCACGTCAGGAGCTCTTGGGAGAGGCGTCCTGGGACTACGGGTGACCTACGGTCTGTGTTACGTGGGGGTGTCCTTGGGAGGAGTGGCCCTGTAACACGCAATTGCTTCTTCTGCCCTGAGTCCTCTCACTTGTGAGGGTCTTGCTCGGGCGGAGCTCCAATCACTCTTCGCTGGCCTGCTGGGAGTACATGTTCCTACGGCCTCCGCGTTGTGTCCCACTAGCAAAGTCCTAAGGGACGTAGCACCATGACGTAGAATTAATAGTTAATAATAGCTAATGTAACTTAAGTTCTACGAATAGGTGCGTAGTCCCTTAGCTACGAGCCCATCAGGCCAGCCCGGCTTGGCAGAGTTCGAGAGGGGGTGCGGCCTTGTGCAGGGGCCTTTATAGAGGAGGGTGGCTGGTGATTGGAGCAAATTATTTTGATTTCTCTGGCGTGTGACCTGGGGGTCACGAGTGATATCCCACTAGCGAAGTCCTAAGGGACTACGCACCTATTCGTAGAACTTAAGTTACATTAGGTAACTATTAATTACAAACAGTAAGTGGTAATATACTCTGGAGAAACAGAGACCTCCGATCAGCAGCTGCCACGGTGAGCTTGTAGCTTGGCCTTCAGAAATCAAAACATCAAGTGGAAAAGTACAGGCTTCTGCATATGTAAGAATGATGAGTTTAACTTTAACAATAGTTGCTTCAAAGTGTTATGAAATCTCACACCAGATTGCAATTTTAGGTGAAAGACAAAAATATCGCAATAATATCGTCATCGCAATACTAAACACTCATATGGAATATCGCACTAATTTCCAATATCGTGCAGCCCTAAGTAGAAATGTTGATAAATGTCCTCAAAGGTCCTTGATCAACACTGTCCTTAGACTCTCCTACATCAGCAAGGAACCACTCATAAAATCCAGTGGGAGAAACCTTTGGGAGGTCAATATTGAGAGAGAGAACCGCTCCTACAGACAAACAGGTTTTTTCCTCGTTCTAAAGCCTCAGTCCAGGATCTACAGCCTAAGTAAACCAAAGTCAAGTTAAGCTGTACTTTCTGCTGTCCTCTGCATTTGACGATTCTTCAAAATCATGTCTGTCAGGAGCAGTGGACCAGCCGTGCACATTGGAACCGGAGCACACGGAGGAAACCTACGCAGATACAGGTTGGTCCTGTTCCAACCGGGATTCGAACACAGGACTTTCTTGGTTAAGTACAAGTTTAAAGAAAAGTTCAACAGCCCCCAGAGGTTCCTGTCCTGCCCTGATCTGAGAATTAAACTAATCCGCTCAAATACTTTCAAATACAGAAAACATTAAGGATCATAACATTAATCATCATGGATCAGGACAACCACAGACTCGGATTTCTCTGCATCTGAAACTGTAGTATTTATTTCTGGTGTTGTATTAGAATCCATAGAGGCCTCTACCAGTAAGAGCACCACTATTGGAGCGACCAGAGAGAGAGACCAGAGAGCGATCAGAGCGAGAGCGACCAGAGAGAGCGACCAGAAAGAGGGTGACCAGAGAGAGAGAGAGCGACCAGAGAGAGAGCAGTGAGAGGGCGACCATATCATAAAATAACATTTATCATGGTGAATCAGGACAACACAATCTACTCCCAGCCCCATTTCTTTTTATTGTTTTACCTATTTTACCTGATGTGTGTGTGGATGTGTGTGTATGTGTGTATGTGTATGTGTGTATGTGTGTATGTGTATGTGTATGTGTGTGTGTGTGTGTGTGTGTGTGTGTGTGTGTGTGTGTGTGTGTGTGTGTGTGTGTGTGTGTGTGTGTGTGTGTATATAATTATAAATGTGATTTTGGGGGGTCTGTGGGGAGGAGGGTTTAGGGCTGGGCATGTTGGATTGTTTTTAACTAAACTGTAAAGCACTTTGTGTTACACTTTTTGTATGAAAAGCGCTTTATAAATAAAATTTGATTGATTGATTGATTGAACAACAAAGACATAGTTCCTCTCCCTCTGAAACTGCAGTATTTCTTTTAGGTGTTGTGATAAACACACCACTATTGTCCATTCTTGCTTCCATTCATTACTTGAAATAAAGAAATCACTATTGCATGTTTCCATTTAAAGCTGGGGCACCGAATTATCAGTATGTAATCCAAACCAGTGCTGGATTAGTCTTAGTCTTCTCCCTGTGCTTCCTGAGTCGCTTCTTTGTTTAAAAGAGCTTTTTTAGTTTAATTGTGTGTCTCCGGTTTCAGGTTGGAGCGTTTCCCGGGAGCGTTGCATTTTTAAAGAGCCGGTTTTATTTAACTTTAAGTGTGTCAACAACAGTTTCAGAGGCGAGAAAGAGAAGACAGACTGTCAGAGCATCAGGAAGACAGCAGTGGGAGCCATGCAACACACACACACACACCAGAGAGAGACCAGAGAGTGGCTAGAGAGAGAGACCAGAGAGTGGCTAGAGTTAAGCCTAGTGAATACTTGCGTGGCGTGGCTTACGTTAGCGGTTGCGGTGGACCTACGTAAGCACAATTGATGTTATACTGGTGCGTTCCCCTTACGGAGTTTTGAGGAGAATGTTGTAATCCCACAACAAACCACATGAGGGCAATCACACAGGAGCGGTCCCATTTACGCTGCTACTTTGTCCTCTTCAGAACAACAATAGCAAACAAAGCTGTTTGAGCTCATTACACGTGTTTCTACTGTAGGTTTATGTGATATTTTATGGATTCATTATTTTATAAGTCATTTCAACTGTGATGCTGTGAATAAAGACACAGTTCTTGTTGGAAACATAGTTATTATTAAATAGTTTTCAGCAAAAACAGCAAAACAATAATAGTGGTAAATATCTGAGACAAACATGAACGATTTACGAGTGCAGGAGGAAAGCAACAAACACAGCTACGATTCAAACAAGACAGGAACAGTGCAAAACAAACGACTGCACAGTTTATAACTTATATATATGTTAGATATAAGTTAGATATATGTTATATATATGTTAGATAGTCCACAGTCTCCTGTATATCAGGCTCTGAGCACAAACTGCTTTTCCTTCGAAGCACAAAGCTCTCTGCTCCATAGTGCCTCCTCCATGTCCCTGCTGCAGCCGATCCGTGCTTCCTTCCAATACACACACACGGCCCAATCACAGCGGAGATTCCTTGCGGCGACCCTTACGTAGTTAGAAAATGTCGATGCTGCGCGGCAGGCGACGTAAGGGCCTTGCGGTGACCAACGCGTTGCGCAAGTGACGTCACGTCACCTCCGTAAGCTCCGCGCGAGTATAAACCAGGCCAGCCATTCCCAAACTCAGTAACACCGAGGCCCCCTTAAAAATCTGACGGGTCTGCGTGGCCCCCCAAAATAATAACCAAGAAGACAACATTAAGAATAGGCTCTTCTGGTTATTTTATTTTGGGGAAATAGCCTCTGCTACAAACATTGTAATAAAAAAATGATTACAGTGGATTATTCAAGTCAAATAATGAACACAAATATTTTAATATTACAAACAAAACATTATAAATTTAACATTAAATAATTATATTATTTTTTTTATTTTTTTTATGACCTCCCGCGGCCCCCCTACAGTACCCTGCGGACCCCACTTTGGGAGACACTGAACTAGGCTATAGAGACCAGAGAGAGGCTAGAGAGAGAGACCGCCGAGTGGCAAGAGAGGGACCGGAGAGAGAGAGAGACCAGAGAGAGGCTAGAGAGAGACACCAGAGAGAAAGACTAGAGAGAGCGACACCGGGGGGAGAGAGACCAGAGAGAGGCTAGAGAGAGAGACACCGGGGAGAGAGACCGGCGAGAGAGGCTAGAGAGAGAGACACCGGGGAGAGAGACCGGCGAGAGAGGCTAGAGAGAGAGACACCGGGGAGAGAGACCGGCGAGAGAGGCTAGAGAGAGAGACACCGGGGAGAGAGACCAGAGAGAGCGAGACCACAGAGAGGCTAGAGAGAGACCAGATTGCCAGAAACCAGAGAGAGAGTAACCCGAGAGAGACCAGGGAGAGAGAAACCAGAGAGACCAAAGAGAGAGAGAGACCTGAAAGAAAGAGCAGATAGACAGGTAGAGGTTATTTAACTCCAGAGACTCAGGAGCCAGGACTCACTTGATCTGCTTTGCGTTCTTGTATCGGACAAAGATGACGATGGGATAGATGTGGACCGTGTGGAGGCGCTCGATGGCGTGAGGCGCGATGTCCAGCAGACAGTGGCAGTCCTGAGAGAGAGAGACCAGAGAGAAATGAGTAAGACCTTATCCAGATATGCACCGTGTCTACAGCTCAGAGTTTCTGAAGCCCGAGAGACAGAGAGAGAGACAGAGGAAGAGAGACCAAAGGGAGAGAGAGCAGAGAGAGACCAGAGAGAGACAGAGGGAGAGATACCAGAGAGAGAGAGAGATAGAGATACCAGAGACAGAGAGACAGAAAGGGACGGAGAGACCAGAGAGAGAGAGAGAGAGAGACAGAGACCCGAGAGACAGACCAGAGAAAGAGAGAGAGACCTGAGAGAGACAGAGGGAGAGAGACCAGAGAGAGAGAGAGATAGAGATACCAGAGACAGAGAGAGAGAAAGAGACAGAGAGACCAGAGAGAGAGAGAGAGAAAGAGACAGAGAGACCAGAGAGAGAGAGAGAGACAGAGACCAGAGAGACAGACCAGAGAAAGAGAGAAAGAGAGAGAGAGAGAGACCTGAGAGAACAAAGACAGACAGAGACCGAGAGAGACTAGAGACAGAGAGATAGAGAGAGAGATACCAGAGACACAGAGAGAGATACAAGAGACAGAGAGAGAGAGAGAAAGAGACAGAGACCAGAGAGAGACAGAGACCAGAGAGACAGACCAGAGAAAGACAGAGAGAGAAAGAGAGAGAGAGAGACCTGAGAGAACAGAGACAGACAGAGACCAAGAGAGACCAGAGAAAGAGATAGAGAGACAGCAAAACTCATATCAAAAGTGTAAAGGTATATAGTATATAATCTGAGTAATCACGCTTCCAAAAGCTGTCAAAAAGACTGCTCTGGGAGTCCTAGTGTTATAAGTACCATATGTACCAGTACCTTCTCTGTGACTTCCTTGATGGTGGCGACTGTGGTCACGTCAAAATGGCCGCTCCTCCTCTTGTAGTCAATGAACACACAGTCCTGGACACCGCGCTCGATGGCCTGCTGCGACGCCTTCATCACCTCTGGAGGAAACAACACAACTTCACTCAGTTTCATTCTTCCATTCACTTTCATTTGTTTTTCCTTCCGCTGTATCCGTTGCCGGGTCACGGAGGCAGCCGTCTGAGCAGAGATTTCCCGCTCCACATCCTGTTTATCCTGATAAGACTATAGCACATCAGAATATGTTTCGGTTTACTGCTAATAAAGCATTTCTATTCAGGTTCTTCCAAACATAAAGAAAGAGAGAGTAGAGGAAGAGTCCACAGAGAGAGAAAGAGAGCTGAGAGTGAGAGCGAAAGACCAGAGAAAGAGAGATTAGACAGAGCGGGAGACCAGAGAGAGAGCTTAGAGAAAGCGAGAGACCAGAGAGAGAGACAGAGACGGGCAAGAAAGATGGAGAGAGCGCGAAAGACCAGAGAGAGGTGAGTGAAAGACCATAGAGAAAGTTTAGAGAAAGCGAGAGACCACAGAGAGAGAGCAAGAGACCAGAGAGAGCGTGAAAAGAGAGACCAGAGCCAGAGAGAGAGCTTAGAGATAGAGCACAGAGAGGGAGAGACCACAGAGAGAGAAGGAGAGACCAGAGAGTTAAGAGGGAGAGAGAGAGAGAAAGAGAGTCTGCATAATTGAACCAGAAAATACTTATGTTTAAGGTGTTGTCCAAATAGTTTTTACACAAATAACCACATTCCACAAAGAAACATCAGTTGCCTTGGGAACATAAGTACCGCCCAAACAAATGTGGCCATCTTTAATTGATTTTGTTCTCGGCCCTCGGTTAAATAACTTCAGACACCTATGAATTAAGCGAACTGAAGCTCGAGCCATTGAATCTGTGGCACAATCTCACCTGTGATCGGGAAGTGGACACTGGATATCTGAGAGTGTGTAGAACTGACCAGATACAAGGCAGACACGGCTGAGGCATGAATAATGAGGCACTGACCGGGCGGACAGCGGCAGAACTTGGCTCCGGACTCTTTGACGAGCAGCTCTTTGCACGGTTCCACCAGAGGCCCCAGGATCAGGACCGGGCGGGGGCTGGACGGCTCCACCTTGAGGACGCGCTGGTAAACGAGACAAGTGCCATCTGCAGGAAGACAGAGACACTGCAGGCTGTTAGTTGTGGGGAGAGAGAGAGAGAAGGAAGCAGGAGAGAAACCATAGGGGGGAGAGAGAGAGACATGATAGACACTGCAGGCTGTTAGTGTGGAGAGAAAGAAGGAAGCATGAGAGAGAGAGAGAGAGAGAGATACCAGACAGAGACACTGCAGGCTGATAGTGTGGAGAGAAAGAAGGAAGCATGTGTGTGAGTGAGTGAGTGAGAGAGAGAGAGAAGGCTGGTAATGTGGTGAGAGAGAGAGAATGAATTACGCAATTATTGTTTATGCTCTGGACACAGTGCTCTCTTTCCCAGTGACTTCTCCATAAAAGTGACCAAACAAAATATTATAACTATAGATAACAAATATAAGATCTCACTATCAGAGAGAGAGACCAAAGAGAAAAGCCAGAGAGTGGGAGACAGAGAGCAGAGAAAGAGACTAAGTTTTTATTTATATACCGCCTTTTCACTGCAGATCTGAGTCTCAAAGCGGTTTACAATTGTTAATTTTTGGGCATTTGTCTCTCACTCCACACAGAGATGGGAGCGGGGCCAGTACAGGAGGCGCATGCCAGAACTATTGGACATATTTTTAGTGGTAGGGGAAACCGGAGTACCCGGAGGAAACCTACGCAGACACGGGGAGAACATGCAAACTCCACTCAGAAAGGCCTAGGACTAGACAGAGACAAGAGAGCGACCAAAGAGAAAAACAAGAGAAGTAAACCAGGGAGAGAGCCCAAAGAGAAGCCAGAGAGAGAGAACAGAGAGAGAGACTAGAAAGAGAAACCAGAGAGTCACCAAAGACGGAGACTTGAGAGAGACCAAGAGAGAGAGAGACACGACCACAGACTGGACTTTTTGAAGCAGATTCTAGAGAGAGTCTGACCCTCTGCGATGGGGAAGGACTCGGTGCTGATGGAGTCCAGGCCCAGTCCGTCTTTCCCGTCTTTGGAGCTGCTGCGTTTGTGTTTCTGTCGCCGCCGGAAGAACGAGCGTCGAGCCGCGGCCGACAAACTCTTACTGTTGTCGTCTTTACTGTCGGGCGTGTGTCTGCGGTACAGCTCCTGGTCCATGCTGAGGGAACGAGAAAGCACATTTGTTTCGTATAAAGGAGGCAGAATGAGACTTAAAGATGTTTTATGCACAGAATAATCAATAGTTAGTTAGTTAGAGAGAGCGAGAGACCAGAGAGCGAGAGACCAGAGAGCAAGAGACCAGAGAGCAAGAGACCAGAGAGCGAGAGACCAGAGAGCGAGAGACCAGAGAGCGAGAGACCAGAGAGCGAGAGACCAGAGAGCGAGAGACCAGAGAGCGAGAGACCAGAGAGACCAGAGAGACCAGAGAGCGAGAGAGACCAGAGAGCGAGAGAGCAAGAGAGCGAGAGACCAGAGAGCGAGAGACCAGAGAGCGAGAGACCAGAGAGCGAGAGACCAGAGAGCGAGAGACCAGAGAGCGAGAGACCAGAGAGCGACAGACCAGAGAGCGAGAGACCAGAGAGCGAGAGACCAGAGAGCGAGAGACCAGAGAGCGAGAGACCAGAGAGCGAGAGACCAGAGAGCGAGAGACCAGAGAGCGAGAGACCAGAGAGCGAGAGACCAGAGAGCAAGAGACCAGAGAGCGAGAGACCAGAGAGCGAGAGACCAGAGAGCGAGAGACCAGAGAGCGAGAGACCAGAGAGCGAGAGACCAGAGAGCGAGAGACCAGAGAGAGCGAGAGAGACCAGAGAGAGCGAGACCAGAGAGAGCGAGAGACCAGAGAGCGAGAGACCAGAGAGCGAGAGACCAGAGAGCAAGAGACCAGAGAGCGAGAGACCAGAGAGCGAGAGACCAGAAGAGCGAGACCAGAGAGCGAGAGACCAGAGAGCAAGAGACCAGAGAGCAAGAGACCAGAGAGCAAGAGAGCGAGAGACCAGAGAGCGAGAGACCAGAGAGCAAGAGACCAGAGAGCAAGAGAGCGAGAGACCAGAGAGCGAGAGACCAGAGAGCAAGAGAGCGAGAGACCAGAGAGCGAGAGACCAGAGAGCGAGAGACCAGAGAGCGAGAGACCAGAGAGCGAGAGATCAGAGAGCAAGAGACCAGAGAGCAAGAGACCAGAGAGCAAGAGACCAGAGAGCAAGAGACCAGAGAGCAAGAGACCAGAGAGCAAGAGACCAGAGAGCAAGAGACCAGAGAGCAAGAGACCAGAGAGCGAGAGACCAGAGAGCGAGAGACCAGAGAGCAAGAGACCAGAGAGCGAGAGACCAGAGAGCGAGAGACCAGAGAGCAAGAGACCAGAGAGCAAGAGACCAGAGAGCAAGAGACCAGAGAGAAAGAGACCAGAGAGCGAGAGACCAGAGAGCAAGAGACCAGAGAGCAAGAGACCAGAGAGCAAGAGACCAGAGAGCAAGAGACCAGAGAGCAAGAGACCAGAGAGCAAGAGAGCGAGAGACCAGAGAGCGAGAGCGAGAGACAAGAGAGCGAGAGACCAGAGAGCGAGAGACCAGAGAGCGAGAGACCAGAGAGCGAGAGACCAGAGAGCGAGAGACCAGAGAGCGAGAGACCAGAGAGCGAGAGATCAGAGAGCGAGAGACCAGAGAGCAAGAGACAGAGAGCAAGAGACCAGAGAGCAAGAGACCAGAGAGCAAGAGACCAGAGAGCAAGAGACCAGAGAGCAAGAGACCAGAGAGCAAGAGACCAGAGAGCGAGAGACCAGAGAGCGAGAGACCAGAGAGCGAGAGACCAGAGAGCAAGAGACCAGAGAGCAAGAGACCAGAGAGAAAGAGACCAGAGAGCGAGAGACCAGAGAGCGAGAGACCAGAGAGCAAGAGACCAGAGAGCAAGAGACCAGAGAGCAAGAGACCAGAGAGCAAGAAACCAGAGAGCAAGAGACCAGAGAGCAAGAGAGCGAGAGACCAGAGAGCGAGAGACCAGAGAGCAAGAGAGCGAGAGACCAGAGAGCGAGAGACCAGAGAGCGAGAGACCAGAGAGCGAGAGACCAGAGAGCGAGAGACCAGAGAGCGAGAGACCAGAGAGCGAGAGACCAGAGAGCAAGAGACCAGAGAGCAAGAGACCAGAGAGACAAGAGACCAGAGAGCAAGAGACCAGAGAGCAAGAGACCAGAGAGCAAGAGAGCGAGAGACCAGAGAGCGAGAGACCAGAGAGCGAGAGACCAGAGAGCGAGAGACCAGAGAGCAAGAGAGCGAGAGACCAGAGAGCGAGAGACCAGAGAGCGAGAGACCAGAGAGCGAGAGACCAGAGAGCGAGAGACCAGAGAGCGAGAGATCAGAGAGCGAGAGACCAGAGAGCGAGAGACCAGAGAGCGAGAGACCAGAGAGCGAGAGCCAGAGAGCGAGAGACCAGAGAGCGAGAGACCAGAGAGCGAGAGACCAGAGAGCGAGAGACCAGAGAGCGAGAGACCAGAGAGCGAGAGACCAGAGAGCAAGAGACCAGAGAGCAAGAGAGCGAGAGACCAGAGAGCGAGAGACCAGAGAGCGAGAGACCAGAGCGCGAGAGACCAGAGAGCGAGAGACCAGAGAGCGAGAGACCAGAGAGCGAGAGACCAGAGAGCGAGAGACCAGAGAGCGAGAGACCAGAGAGCGAGAGACCAGAGAGCAAGAGAGCGAGAGACCAGAGAGCAAGAGACCAGAGAGCGAGAGACCAGAGAGCGAGAGACCAGAGAGCGAGAGACCAGAGAGCGAGAGACCAGAGAGTGAGAGACCAGAGAGCGAGATTGCCAATGAGACAAAGCCATTCAGTGTATTTAGTTTATTTCAAGAACTATAGTATTCTCATTTCAAAGGAGACATATCAGAATGTGCTCATAAGAGACTTTTTGCAAAATTTGAGCAATTTTTACTTATTTTTAATCACTTTTTGCGTTGACATTTCCATAAGAACAGACATAGTTAGTAAAAGCAGGTCTCTCTCACATGTACTGGCTGGGGACCTGGCCTCGCTGCAGCCGCTGGGCCTTCTCGTCCAGTTGCCATGCCGACCAGTATCCCAGGTTCCCATTGGGCAGCGTGTCGTCCACATAGAGAATGTCATCTTTTTTGAAACTCAGCTCCGGCTCCAGCTCGGCCACGCGCTCGTACAGGGCTCTGCGGACGGACAGACGTCACTGTGTGTGAGCGGGCGTTAGAATGAAGCTGGGTATGTAACTTTCAAACCACACCATGTTTTTATTAGCAGAGAGAGACCAGAGAACCACCAGACAGAGAGGAAGAACAAAGAGTGATAGACGAGAGAGAGAGAGAGAACCACCAGACAGAGACGAGAGAGAGAGAGTGAACCACCAGACAGAGAGGAAGACCAAAGAGCGATAGACTAGAGAGAGAGAGGGAGACCAAAGAGAGACCAGAGAGAAACACCAGGCAGAGAGGGACCAGAGAAAGGGAGACCAGAGAGAGACCAGAGAAAGAGAGACCTGAAGGAGACCATAGAAGGTAGACGAAAGAGAAAGACAAGAGAGAGAGATGAGAGAGAGAGACCAGAGAGAGAAAGACCAAAGCAAGAGAGAGAACCAGCGAGAGAGAGAGACCAGAGGAAGAGACCAGAGAGAGAGAACAGAGAGACAGACCAGAGAGAGATACCAGAGAGAGAAACATACCAGGCCGAGAAGGACCATAGAAAGGGAGACCAGAGCGAGAACGGAGAAAGGGAGACCTGAAGGAAACCAGAGAAGGGAGACCAAAGAGAAACACCAGGTAGAGAGAGACCAGAGAGAGAAACACCAGGAAGAGAGAGACCAGAGAGAGAAACACCAGGAAGAGAGAGACCAGAGAAAGAGAGACCTGAAGGCAATCAGAGAAGGGAGATCAAAGAGAAAGACCAAAGAGAGAGACCAAAGAGAGAGAATCAAAAACGGACTCACAGGTAACATGTCAATGAGGTGAACACTTTTCTGATTATTGCACATTCTCCTCTGATTGAGCAGCAGTAGTTTTTACCTGATGAAGAACCCGTCCCCTGTGGCCTCTCTCAGTGCTGCCAACTCGTCAGCGCAGCTCTGGACCTTAAAGGAGACTGTTTCTGTGGGTTTCAGCGTCTCCAGATAAACCTCTTCTTTCGTTTTGTTTTTCATACTGACGCCGTTGCACTGAGGATCACAGAGAGAGATATGTTTATAACAGAGACACTTCGGTATTGTACGGTATTAAAACGGACAAGTAGTTATATATATAATTTCTACTATTATAGACAATTTTATTGTATTGCTGTATTCGTTATTAAAAATTCTAGAATAACCATCATAATTAAGTGTTTTTGGTGCATTCTCTTTAATAATAATAATAATAATAATAATAATATTCTAGTGGATTTCTAACCATTACTAAATATCAATATACCAAAATACTGTTACTACAAGATATAAAATTGAATATCCGAAAAATCTAAATAGAAAAAATAGACAACACTAAAAAAATAAAAAGTTCTATTCTAAAAACATATTTCCATACATCTAAAAAATAAAAAATAAAAAAAAGTTTTCAGCCATAAAGACTCAAGAATAATAACAAGGAAATAAAACCAAAACCAGAAGCAGACCCAGAACCATGAGTAGAAACAAAACCAAAACCAGAAAAAAAAAAGCAGAGCCAGGAGCAGAACCAGAACCATTAGCCAGTCTGCATAAGGTGTATCTGGTCCCACCTCCAGGACCAGGTCTCCGGGCTGCAGTCCCTCTGGTCCCGCTGCTGGACTGTCCTCGTCTAAACGCTCCACAAACACTCCACACGTGTTTCCTCCACAAAACTGCAGCCCCAGCTCTCCTTGCAGCCGCTGCAGCCGCACCAGCCGGACCTCTGCCGATCTGTGAGGCCCCAGTCTGCAACAAGAGCAAGACAAGTTTATTTGTATAGCACCGTTCATACACAAGTGAAAATGTCGAACAAAACGAGAAATAGTAAACATAGAGTGCACGAGGAGACAGATTTTTCGTCTTTTTTTTAATCTATGGGTTTTCTACCTGAAGGAGCTGTTGGGGCTGGTGGCGGGGGTGGTCTGCTTGGAGGGAGGGGTCATGGTCCCCTCGTCCTGGTCGCTCAGAGCCTCAGCAGACGACAGGTGGTCTGGGGTGGTGGCCGCGCTGCTGTGAGGCGTGGGCTGGTTACTGATCGACTCCATGCGAGAGCTGAGCCGGAACAAGAACGATGTATTCATGACATGGTGATAAAGGGAAATTACCAGAGACTAATAGACTGTATCAACTTATAACCAGAGAGAGAGGACCAGAGAGAGAGAGATCATAGAGAGAAGACCAGAGAGAGAGGACCAGAGAGAGAAGACCAGAGAGAGAGACCAGAGAGAAAGAGAGGACCCGAGAGAGAGACCAGAGAGAGAGAGAGACCAGAGAGAGAGAGAGACCAGAGAGAGAGGACCAGAGAGAGGACCAGAAAGAGAGATCATAGAGAGAAGACCAGAGAGAGAGGACCAGAGAGAGAGAGGACCCGAGAGAGAGAGAGAGACCAGAGAGAGAGAGAGATCAGAGAGAGAGACCAGAGAGAGAGGACCAGAGAGAGAGACGACCAGAGAGAGAGAGGACCAGAGAGAGAGAGACCAGAGAGAGAGAGACCAGAGAGAGAGAGACCAGAGAGAGAGAGGTATGAGGAAGGCCAGAGGAAGGCCAGAGGAGCGAGGGACGAGAAAGACCACAGAAAGAGAACCAGAGGGAGAGGACCAGAGAGAGGACCAGAGAGAAGACCAGAGAAAAAGAACAGAGGGAGAGGACCAGAGAGAGGACCAGAGAAAAAGAACAGAGGGAGAGGACCAGAGAGAGGACCAGAGGGAGAGGGACGAGAAAGACCACAGAAAGAGAACCAGAGGGAGAGGACCAGAGAGAGGACCAGAGAAAAAGAACAGAGGGAGAGGACCAGAGAGAGGAGCAGAGAAAAAGAACAGAGGGAGAGGACCAGAGAGAGGACCAGAGGGAGAGGGACGAGAAAGACCACAGAAAGAGAACCAGAGGGAGAGGACCAGAGAGAGGACCGGAGAGAGGACCGGAGAGAGAGGACCAGAGGGAGACCAGAAAGAGAGCTCAGAGAGAGGAATGAGAAAGACCAGAGGGAGGCCAGAGGGCGGGAGACGAGAAAGACCAGAGAGAGAGAGAGAGATCACAGAGAGTGCGGAACCACAGATTCTGTAACCCTAAAATGGTGAGTGTTACACAAACAGTCACCGAGCTCGGATAGAGTCAATAGAGTAAAGACTTCCATGTGCACTGCACCGTTGACCTTTATTGTCCATCTGTATACAGTCTATGCTCTAAATACATAACAGCGAGCTACACGTGTCATAAACTGCAGTAAGAGAAGGACATTCCCGGAGTCTTACCCGGAGCGAGAGTGGTTCCCGAGCTGAAACATGTGAGGATTGTACTGAGCCAGAATTGTGACCGTATCGCACTGTTGTCCGATCACCAGCCGCGCCTGCTGCTCATTAGCATTCCTCAGGTTTATCCCATTGAACTGAAAGGAAGAAACACTAATTGAATTCTAAAAACTTTGGGAATGTACTCAGGGATGAAAACCAGTCCTCAGAGTTGTGTTACCTCCAGCAGCTGGTCCCCGTACTCCAGTCTGGCCTGGTGAGCGATACTTCCCGCCGTCACCTTGGACACGAACACGCCACCGTTCTCTCCGCTCACGATGGAGATGCCCAGAGGCTCCGCCCCCTTCTGCACCGTCACGTTACGAGGCTCCTCCAGGTAAGGTCTACGGAGAGCGAGTCAGTGAGTCACATTTATTTATATAGCGCCTTTCACAGACCAGAATCTCAAAGCACTTTATAATTGTTGTGCGAATTTTCACTCCACACAGTGATGGGAGCGGGGTCGCCTACAGGGGGCGGACCTTCTTGCTGTGAAGCGCAAGTGCTAACCGCTGCTGTGCCGGTACCGCAGGACCAGAGAGAGACGAGAGGGAGAGATGAGTGAGTGACAGGGAGACCCGACAGAGAGAGAAGAATGTAAAAGAGGGCCACACACTACAAGCCAGAGAATAAAAGTGAGACTTAAGAATATTGAAATTATTTTTTAATGTGGAGAGAGCAGAGTGTTTTAAAGCCTTGTCCCCCTGGGGTTTTCCATGCAAAAACAAACAAACTAATAAAGCCATGTTAGCATCTGTATAGGTCTTAAACATGCACAATTCTAGCACAAGCAATACTCACGACTTCATATTAACCATTTCCTTCTCAGTTTAATCATTTTTTTAGTAAGAATGGGACCTGATTTACTGGTGTTACTGGGCTCTCATGCATGTTTGGCTGTAGTGTCAAACAGCATGTATTGGTCCATTTGGAATAAAAACGTTATTATGAGTTATTAAAAACAGCAGACATGGTTAGTGTTGGTTGAATTTGGCATTTTATAAAAAGGTCTTTAATTACTGTTGCCGTTGACAGCACTACAGCCCTTGCATACAGGTATTCATGCTAACAGGCTAACAGGCTAACCAACCTCAAGCTTCTTAGGGAGTAGAAGTTATTCTCAAAAGTCTGTGCAAAGCTGACGGAGAAGAGCAGTGAGGGTTAGACGAGGACCACACACAACAACCAACAGAGAAAAGCCTTCAAATTGACTGCTCAAAAAGATCTAGCAATAACAGGTAGCATATATGATATCACAGTAAAGTACAATGTGTTTTCATTGAAAGACTAGTTTGTTATCAACTTCCTCATCCCTGGATTCAAGTGTGTGTGTGTACCCGTGTGTGTGCCTATGTGTGCATGTGTCTGTATGTACGTGTGTGTCTGTATGTGTGTGTCTGTACGCAGCGAGGCCCTACCCGTCTCTCCTCTTGTCGCACATCGCCGCCGGACTGACGGAGATTCTCGGTTGCGGAGAAATGGAGCTCTGTGATTGGCTGCTGCTGAAGGAAGATGTGTCCAGGTTCACGGGGGACATGGGAGGAGTGGGGCTGCTGCATTCGGAGTGAGACAAGGAGCCTGAAGCAGAGACGAGAAGGGAGGAGAGATTGTTTAAATACATGGCTAATTTGGATTGTAACAAATCTTAAGGATTGTAGCAAATATAAAGCATAATTGTGTCAGTTACAAGTTTTGTTTTCTCAATGAGGAGGTCAAGAGGTGGAGCAGGTGCTGTTACCTCTGTCAGAGCCGGTGGAGCGAGGATATCGTACAGGAGGGATTTTGATCCTCTTGAACTGCCCTGAGAAGAAACAACCAAACTCTAAACTTTATACCAGCAGTTTTAGCCTTTAGATCTGAATCTGTCCATATCTGAGATCACTGAACAACCTTATACATTAGATTATGAATATACAGGAACAAACCTTTTACTTATTCTCTCTGGCCTCTCTCTTTATGGCCTCTATGGCGCTCTACATCTCGCTCTACATCTCGCTCTACATCTCGGTCTACATCTCGGTCTACATCTCGGTCTTTCTCTGGCCTTCCTCTCTCGGTCTCTCGTCTCCCTCTGGTCTCGGTCTCTCGTCTCCCTCTGGTCTCGGTCTCTCGTCTCCCTCTGGTCTCGGTCTCTCGTCTCCCTCTGGTCTCCCTATGGTCTCGGTCTCTCGTCTCCCTATGGTCTCGGTCTCTCTTTTCTCTCTCTCCTGTGTCTCTGTCGCCGTCTGTCTCTCAGTCTCTCTCTCCGTCTCTCTCTCCGTCTCTCTCTCAGTCTCTCTCTCAGTCTCTCTCTCAGTCTCTCTCTCAGTCTCTCTCTCAGTCTCTCTCTCAGTCTCTCTCTCAGTCTCTCTCTCAGTCTCTCTCTCAGTCTGTCTCTCTATCTGTCTCTCTATCCGTCTCTCTATCCGTCTCACTCTCTGGCCTCAAACCTGTACATTTCTTCTTATCAAAAACCCTCCGCTCTCTCTACATCCCTGTTCTTTCTTGCATGAACTGTACATTTGGAATCTATCCAGAAGAAAGTTGTACATTATCATATTCAAACCGATAATGAACATCAGTTGAATATGTACCGGTGCGGGCGCTGGAGGGCAGGGAGTTGGAGTGATGGGAGGTGGAGCTGCTCTCGCTTATGTCTCCGGAGCGTTTGTGGCTGAGGTCCAGGCTGAGGCGACCCTGGTGCTGCGGGCTGCAGAAAACAACACAGAGGAGTCCCACGGAAATCAATTATTCAGACTGGACCAGAGAGCGCCATCTGTTCACATCTGTTCATCTGAGCTTCAGCAGAGACAGAGTGTGTGAAGCAGCATGAGAGGCTGCTGGAAACTTTATAGCCTACGGTTCTTTAACTTTAGTTAAAAAACTATTAGTAAAGTTTATTTTGGCTCTGAACAGGTGGTCATTATACAGTGGCTTCTTTGTCTTAGTAAATAAAGTATAAATAGAAAGACCAGCAACAAATCTCTCTCTCTCTCTTCTCTCTCTCTCTCTCTCTCTCTCTCTCTCTCTCTCTCTCTCTTCTCTCTCTCTCTCTCTCTCTCTCTCTCTCTCTCTCTCTCTCTCTCTCTCTCTCTCTCTCTCTCTCTCTCTCTCTCTCTCTCTCTCTCTCTCTCTCTCTCTCTCTCTCTCTCTCTCTCTCTCTCTCTCTCTCTCTCTCTCTCTCTCTCTCTCTCTCTCTCTCTCTCTCTCTCTCTCTCTCTCTCTCTCTCTCTCTCTCTCTCTCTCTCTCTCTCTCTCTCTCTCTCTCTCTCTCTCTCTCTCTCTCTCTCTCTCTCTCTCTCTCTCTCTCTCTCTCTCTCTCTCTCTCTCTCTCTCTCTCTCTCTGTGCAAGTGCAGTTTCTTTATGTCAGTTTCTTGTGTGGTCTTTGAGGAGGCTTCATCCCGGTACCTGGAGTGTGCTGGTACCTGGAGTGAGAGTGGGTGGTGTTAGTCGAGGGGCAGCCGTTACTCTGGACCTCGTGACTCCAGGCCGTGTAGACCGGGTTCCTCATGACTGCAGTGACAGCAGAGCAGGGGGACAGGCCTCTCTGGGCCGGGTCTGAGGAAACAACAACTACTATTACTGTCAACTACTACTATAAGATACTAATACTACTGTAAGATACTACTAATACTGCTCCGAAGAACACTGGGCAGGGGTAAAGGACAAATAAACAACTATAAGACCATAGGTAGTCTCGCACAGTTCTTCCAAGGTGGTTTTACTGCAAATGTCAAACAAAATCTTGTATCTTGTATAAAGATAAAATGTAATCGTTCCTAGCTATTGTGTGATATGGGTTTTGGTTCTGAGACTACCAGAAGTCTATCCAACCAAGACGTAAAGTGGAAAGTTCCTTGAAACTTGAGTTTATATGTAAGACTAAAAAAAAAATTGTGTGAAAAATGTGAGTCTTCTCTGTCATAATAGTCCAAAATAATGCTGGGGTAGGTACCCCACATTTTAAAACCAACAGATCAGCCAATCAGCTCAAAGAGTCAAATAGTGACTCACAGGGCTGACAAGAATGCACCAAAATATATAACAATGAAAGCACAATCTGGTCTGATCTGTTCACAACATTTAACTTTTACAAGACTCTTTGTGTGGAGACAAACTACTAGGTATTATAGATGGTAAAAGTCAGGTCCCCCAGCTTTAACTGTGATAGTGTCTTACGTCCAGAGATGGTGCTGTAGTTGGGAGGGGAGAAGGTCATGCTGTAGCGGTTGTTCCTCATGGGGGAAAAGCGTAACAAGTCTGTGTGTTCGGGCGAGTGTTCGTCGTTGGAGAAACTTTGAACCTGAAACAGAAAGAGAGAAAAGTATATTTGAATTCACATGAAACTGTATTAGATTCAGATAAAAATCAGCTTTAAAACTATATATAACATTTCATATTTTCCCAGACTCTTCAGTGCACTGACATTGACGTTTGATGTCCACTAGGGGGCCACAAAACACTGTTTTAAGACCTTGCGGATGGATCTAAGAACAACTCTCGGCCTGTTTTGGATGAGGAAACAATGTGGTACCCTGGGTAATAACTCCCAGACCCTCATGCTGCTAACATGTACTTTATAATTGCTTTTTTATTATGCTAAAGCTAAAGATTTCGTAATTGCTTCTTTATTATGCTAAAGCCAGATGTTTTATAATTGCTTCTTTATTATGCTTAAATTGTAGTGATTTTATTTTATTATAGTATAGAGTTATTGTTCACTTCTGCTGTGTGCACCTCATTCCTACTGTTTTATAACTGGTGATGCAACACTGACATTTCCCCACTGTGGAACAATCTGAATCCTAAAGCCACAGTCACCTGCATGGGGATGGGGATATGCAGCGGCGTGACGTTCCTCCGCGACGCTGGAGCCGACTTGGGCCTGTACCTCCTCACTCTCTGGGTCTGGGTCTCTGCCCGGTGTCTCCCCCCTCCTCCTCCTCCTCCTCCTCCTCCTCCTCCGCCCTCCTCCTCACCCACCATCCTCCCTCCCCCTCCCCCCACATCCACCCCCGCGTCCGGGTAGAACTGCTTCGCCTCGGTCTCCCCCCCGTCCACTGCGCTGGGCGACATGGGCGGCGTCCCGGTCGTGATGGTCGAGTCGGAGGCAGAGCTGTTTTGCTGCCTGTGCTTGAACCTAAAAAGGAGATGGACATTAATTTATTTATATAGCGCACTGCGAGACACGAGACAAGGGTTTGAACAAGTGAAGGTTTACTGTAGCTTACTCTTAAAGAAGAACGATTATGGATTATATTTGTCCACTACAAAAATGTCACCTCTTAGAAAATAATATCCCCAATTAAGAATATATGGTGATTTTATACTTGCTCTTTTTATTATTCTAAAGTTAGACATTTTATTGCTCAGTTATCTTGTGCTGTGTCCTTAAAGGGTGAAAAATGCTTTCTGCCTGTAACTCCCCATGCCGCCACCAGAGGGAAAATTCTAAAATTACCAGATGGAAACACAGCCATGGCCATTTAACTACATTTATTGAAATCTATTAACATTGATGGAGATTGGTTCATAAGTGGCAGACGACCAATGATGTGTTTTTGATCAACGAATTTCCTGTGTTTGATTCTCTGATTGGTTGTTGGCGAATCGACAACTTTGTAGTCCTCCGAGACTACAGCTGTTGTACTGTTGTGATTCGGGCTATACAAAAATATACATGGCACTATTCATTCACCCCATACACAGTGGTGATAAACTACTCCTGTTGTAGCCACATCTGCCCTGGGACACACTGACAGAAGCAAGGCAACCCGTATGTGCCATCAGCCCCTACCACCACGACAACAAACACACAAACCTGAACGAGTCGCTTCTGGTGGGCGGCGTGGGCGGAGTTTCTGAAATGGAGCTTTGCGGAGAATGCTTCGGCAGCGACAGATAATCCAGTTTGGGAGCGGCGTCCGGTCGTCTAAACGCTGCGATGTCGAAGATGGATTTCCTTTGTTTGGGCTTCTTGAAAATGGAGAGATGGGCACACTCCGGGATCGACGCTCCCACCATCACTTTAGGCCACGTCCCGCTGCTGGTTTGCCCGGAATTCTGCTCGTTGTTAGCTTGCGCGGAGCTAAAATCGGTTGAAATTGGCGCGAAATTAGCGATAGGTCTGTGCGGGAGGTCTGGTCTTCTGTAGACGTATTCCGGGTGAGGATCGGGACTGTGCGGAGAGACTTGGTGCGACAGCGAGCGCGAGTGAAGACCGTTGGAGTAGGAGGAGCTACCGTTGCTGCCCTGTTCGCATTTGCAGGTGGGGGAGTTCTCACTGGGGCAGTGGTTCTTCTTGTGCGGGGGGGAGGTGCGACAGTTCCGGGAGAGGACCGGCGGCGCCGGCTTCTCGGTGGAGTCACGGAGGTTCTCAAAGAGCAAGCTTTGGCCCGAACAGCTCTGCGGGAAAATCTGGGGTAAAGAGTGAAGAAAAGAGAAACGTGAGATTTATGGAGAAGTTACACATTAGACTGAGGATACAGGGAGTTATCTGTGAATCAAGTACAATATGAAAACAGTAAAGAAACTTTGTAGAGAATATATGGTGAGACAAGTAGGAAGAATAAAAGTCTTTCTACTTGTAACTCCCTCTGCCGCCACCAGAGGGAGGAGGTGAATGGTTTTGGATTTTTTTTCAAATTAATTACAGGCTGCAAACACAAGCCAAAAATATTATGCCGAACCATTTTTATTTCTGATTCTAACAACCAGCAGGGGGCAAATCCCTGCAGGAAGTCCCTCTGTAGGCCAGTCTCAGTCCCTGGCCTCCTCAGAGTTCTTCTTGGGTCATACGGCACTAACATGTCACATATGTAAATGGAAAGACTTGTAACAAACAGAGCTTTAAAGTCTATTCTCTGAGCCACAGGAAGTAGAATCCTGAGAACTGGACTAATGTGATCCTACTTCTAGCCCTGGACTTTGGCTGCAGTGTTTTGTAAATACTGCAGCTAAATAAGGACAGTCTACAGCATTGGTTAAGTTTCATTTCTGTCACTGCTGATGAAACAAAACTGAAACTTAAGCCACGCAGACTTTTATTTGATAAGAAAATCAAAACTCATTCTTCACATGAACCTTTTCAAACCTGATTGTTGACATTGTGAAATTTGAGAATGTGGGTGTAACTTTAATGTACATTTTGAATCGGTTGCCAAAAGTGTAAAATAACAAAAGATCATAAACATTATATTAATCCAATTACTTTTACCATATTTACATTCACATAAACAGTTCTATAGCAGTATTATGTCTCTCTCTCTCTCTATGCACTGGTTTAGTTTTCGGGGGAAAGTGAAACTGAAGTGACACAGCAGTTCCCCGGATCAGCTGAGGACCAACCCTTTATAAGCACAACAGAGAGAAGAGACATCCAGTTGTTTTCACAGCAAGACTCTGATAGCAGCAAGAAAACATGAGCGAGGGCGTTAAAAAGGTAAGAAATACATACGTTTTTTTTATTTTAGAGGCTGTAATGACCACCTTTGGAAGTAGCTTTGGGATTAGCTTTTTATGTTGATTTTAGAAGTAAGAATATTGTCAGATTTTGACTTCTATTCGTCCCAATGTCCAGAATTCCCATTTGTCAATAGAACCAGGTCTGTTGTAGTCTTAATATAAGTAGCATTTTTACATATTGCAAGAAATGCCCTTAGTTTGCGTAAAACAATGTATTCTAAGCTTGTTTCACAGGGTCCACATATTGAGAAAGTATATTTTCTCTTGTTTTAATATTTACAACTTTAAATCCTACAGCTATAAAGCCTGAAACTTATCCCACAGACAGTATTTATTCAGCCAAAAAATGACAAAATAAGGGGAAAAAATTTCAGAAACAGGAAGGGATATAAATTCTTACAAGGTTAGGGTTAGGTAAATCCATAAAGGACACTCATGCTGGTCATCTACTCAGATTGCAATCCATAGATTTTAAACTATCTCTCATGATTTGCATATTTGTCCATCAATTTTGTATTACCAATAACACCTTGTTTTCAGACTCCGTACCAGGGGAAGAGCAGGTGCTTTGGGGAATACCAGTGTTCCCAGTGCAACCGCAAATGGATGAGCGCCAACTCCTGGGCAAATATGGGACAGGAGTGCACCAGCTGTAAGATTATGGTCTACCCTCACAAACAGGTGAGTCCAGGTCCAGGTCTTCACTCTAATGTGACGCCGTTCCTATGCAGCGCCATAGACTGTATACAAGGAGGGACAATGCTAACATGCTAGCTTTTTATTCACTTGCATCGAAAGGCTAACAATCCTGCTGTTTATTATTTTGATATCGTCTTTGATAATCCAGGTATGAGCCATAAAGCGCTTAGTATAGGACGTGGAAGAGGCCATTTTGAATATTATCTGGAGCCAATGTCCTTATTGGTTGTTTCCATCGCAAAATAGGCATCTCTTGGTCAATCCTTATATGGCTCATATCTGTATTTAGAAAGATGATATCACAATATAAAAAGGAGCCAGAGAAAGTTGGAGCAAAAAAATTTAGCTAGCAGGTTAGCATTGTCCATCTATATAAAGAGTCTATGGTAATGACCAATAATAACCAACCAACCAAGTAGGGGTGGGAACCTAAGGGTACCTCACGATACAATACGATACAAAGCTCACAATAACAATATCATCACGATAATTTTATCACGATATGACGATTATCGATATATTGGTCAGAAATATACCATATGCCAATTTATGGCATAAATAAAAGAAAAACGTTAAGTGAAAAAATACAGTTTATTTCATGATAAATGGAATGGAGATGCGTAATGTAGCCATATATTAAGTATTGATACTATTTATTTATTTTTTAAAGAGAAAAAAAATTGATATTGATACTTGGCAAATGCATATCGATAATCGAATCGCGGGAGAAAGTATCGTGACACCCCTACAACCAAGTGCTTTCTTAACACAAATTCTTAGTAGCACAAACGGGAACAAGCAACACAACTTGCTCCATCCGTTACAAAAGCTCTATATACATTAAGATAACTTCAAGTTCTGGATCAGTTTGAGGCAAATAGTGACAATCTAACACCATTTAAAATAATTTGATGTCTGCGATCTGTGATTTCAAACCCCAACTCTTTCAGACATAAATAATCGCGATACGTTTCCTCCCCTCCAGCGTCCTCTGGAGAAGCCGGACGGACTGGACGACCACTTGGACCCAAACAAAGCCCACCTCCAGCATCTGTGCGAGAAATGCAAGCGACTGGGCCGCTGCTGCAGACCGCGTTACAGATGACATCACCACAGACGAGCCATGACCATATAAGGAAAACTCTGTCATCAAGAAGATTTTTCACCGTTTGTTTTTGTTCTGAGCCCTTTAGCCGCTACCTACGTAAAAAACCTCGCTGTATTGAACCCATATTATGCGCTTTGAGCTATTCTGAATGGCAGGTTCTCCATATTATGTTATTAAATGAGAAAACTTGTGAAAAATGATGGATACTCTACTTTGCTTCTGTCAAAATTCACTTCCATGTCAACTGGAAATCAATATTGTGTTTCATGTGGATAAGTTTGTTGGGAGGAACCAAGTCTGGCCATCATTTTGATATTAGACATATTATTTATTGTATTTTAAGGTTTTAAAGCAGATCTGGTGTGATTAGTACATCCATCCAAAAAAGATGCCTGCCTCCTCTCACTATGCTTCTAAACAAAGCAGATTGGCAGATTCTTCATCCTTGCTACTGTCAGCTTCTACAATGAACACTGTTTATGAGTGGGTTTGATCTTGTGCTACATGTTATGAATGATTTAATGTTTTTTTTTTTCTATGAGTTTATGTATCTGTTGACTTTCGCCTTGTGATGTAAATAAAAGTTTATCTATCTAATCTATGTCTGTTTAACTAAAATCATGCCCAAAGCCAGTTACACAGGAGGAGGTCTGAGTGGAGTCGCTGCTCCTCCAATAAAATCATGTACAATAGCTAAAATCTTCCAGCTCCGGTAATCCTGACCAAGCCGAGCATCAACAAATTGAGTTGGGTCGCCGGCGTTGTATTAAAAAATGTTACATGTTGGTCAAACATACAGTTACGTGACGTGTTACAGTACAAAGTATAGTAACACAGAAATGTAACATGTAGATTTTCTCAGTGGATAAAAAGGGTACTATATTGTGAGAAGTAATAATACGAGGAGGGCTACGCCGCGCACAAACTCCTAAAGCCTTCTCTCCCGCTCACTTGCGTCAATAGAAGCAGCGTGAAAGAAGTCTTTGGGAGTTAGTGCGCGACGTAGCGCTTCTCGTATTATTACGCCTCACAATATAGTACCCTATATATTGATCTATCTATGTCTGTTTAACTAAAATCATGCCCAAAGCAAGTTACAGAGGAGGAGGTCTGAGTAGAGCCACTGCTCCTCCAAGAAAAACATGTACAATAGGTATAATTGTCCCGCTGCAGTAGTCCTGACCAAGCCGAGCATCAACAACTGGAGATGGGTCGACCACTGCTCCTGACGGAAGACTTAGTGGCATCATCATAAATTATGTCTTGGTGTTGCCTGGAGTTGGAGCATCGCACAAGTTGGTCATAAATTGTCAATTCGAAGCCTTTAGTCACCAAAATTTGGTGGCTGAATTAAGATTTCACCTATGGGCGTAGGGGAGACCGGAGCACCTGGAGGAACTCAAGACCCAGGGGGTCACATACAAACGCCGCAAAGTACTTTAGTAGTAGTTATTGAGATTATAATGCAGACCTATTTCCTGTCTGAGTACTTGTAACACAGTGATCCTTGATTGATGTAAAGCTAATATTTAAAACCGGTTCTGACCCAAAGATTCTCAGGCTCGATGGAAGTTCAATGAATGTTACCTTAACCAGAGAGACGCTGAGAGAATCCCGACAGCTTCTCAACAGAGACTCACACTCGGACAGAGACTTGTTGTCCACCGCGATCCCATTTATCTGGAAAAATAAAAATAATTTTCAGAGAAAATTCAAATACTGTTAATTTAGTGTCACTTTTAACAGTGCAGTGTTCTTCTGAGTGCTGGCTCTAGGCTAGAATGTTAAGAAATCGAGACAAAAAAATCCAAAATGTGATGCTTTTTCCCTTTTTTCTGTTCTCAAGAGACACATTCAATCTTTTTGGATTACTATATTATAAAACTTAAATAACTTTGAGGAAGTTAAGAAAAAGCTGCATATTTATTAATCAATGTAAATAGAAAAGTTAAAAGTTAATCAAAAACTCTGTTAAAAGAATAGAGGATGACATATTCTGGAAGATTACGGCCGAGGAAATAAAATAATCAAGAAAATTCTCCTTTGTGAGATCAATAAATACAGTCCATCTTGTCTATCTTAAAAAGGAAAAAAACATGGTATTTTTTATATTCATATTATTCAAGAATGCATTATTACACCAGAATTATATGTTTTAAATCGAATGTGTCTTGTATCTCAAAGTTATATTCTGGGGCTTTCAAATACAAACGGGAGAAAAGGTTCAATTCTATGGTGTAATACTTGTTTTGAGCACAAGAGGGCAGAAGGCAACTACAGTACACAATGCACATACTGTATCTCTATAGGAGAATTTAATGCTGGGGGCAGTAATAGTGTGGTCATTTCTGTGTATTATTGCTTCCCTACTCACCAAGTTCAATTAGGTGTGGTTTAAAAGTCAGGTACCCCAGCTTTAAATGTGTTATGTTATACATTATAATAGAGACTCACAGCAAGCAGCCGGTCCCCGATAGTCAGAGCTCCTTCTCTGGTGGCCGGACTCCCCGGAGCCAACGTCGCCACAAACACCCCACTCTCCAAACCAATCCCACTTTCTGCAAAACAAAATAATCAATATTGAGTCAAAATCCCGGTTTCCAACAGCCTTACCCTACTGTACCCTACTGTACCCTACTATCAGGTACTTATTTTAGTCCCCTCTTTGTCCCGGTTCTATCCAGGCCGAGATGGTAGCCATGGTTACAGAGTAATATCCCTGGATACTGGTTTGTTGATAGTAAATTAGATTTATTTCAAATTTCCCATGTATTTAAATCCTAATACCAATACTAAAGATTACATTAGAATACATTATTCTAATGTCATAGCAGTAGCGTGATAATTAATGTAAAGAATATATCTATATATATATATATAAGAATAACATCTCTGGCTGTTTGAGTAAAAGTTAAAACACAGAGACAGACGAAGCCCCCACCTTTGCTTCCGCTCAGGTTGATCTGAACAGGTGTGACCACGCGAGCTCCCAGCGACTTCCTCCTTCTCACGACCATATTTAGAACGCCCTCGCCGCTAAGCACCGCCTTTATCACCTGCTTCCTGTCCTTATTGGTCAGGTCTACGTCGTTCACTTTCAACAACCAATCGTTCACTCTGGAAAAAAGATAAAAACAAATGAGTCGATGCATTGTACAAACATTTTGAATATTGTGGAATCCTGTGCTGTTTTTAAAGTACCTGAGTCTTCCTTCTGCGATACTTCCTTTGTCCACTTTACTCACAAACACGCCGATATCTCCGGGTAAATACGGATCATTCACACCCTCAGCAATGTCGAAGCCAAGCGCCTTCAAGTCCATGTCCTGAAAGAGGAAAATGTGTTTAAAAAGGTTTGCTAAGTAGGCCATTGCCACCTTCATCTTGTATTTGATTGACTTTACTACAGTGCTATTGAAAGAACCGAGCCTTCTGAACCCCGAGGACCGAGCCTTCTGAACCCCGAGGACCGAGCCTTCTGAACCCCGAGGACCGAGCCTTCTGAACCCTGAGGACCGAGCCTTACCCTCTGCTTCTCCAGCTCCACCACTTCGGTTTCCCATTCGATGGAGTCCGTGTCAATGGCTGAGTCGTGAGAACTGTGAGCCATGAGCTGATGGAAGCGGGCCTCCCTCTCCAGCTGAGTCTCCATCTTCTCCCTAAAAAAAAGACACAGATGTTAGGTTCAATCTTTTGTTGGTGAATTACGTTAAAAGCCAAAACCAGCTACAATTCACATAACAAACTGGCAACCCAAACAAAAGCTTCATTCTGCTCTGATTGTACAATATTTCAGAAAATTGTATGTAAATTACCAAGAATAACGTTTTCCGCTGTGACCTGTTTTCTGGGGACACATGTTAATATCACGTACGGCCCCTTTAAATCCTCGGTCTATAGCATCGTACTTGATCTCTTTGAGCTCCCGGGCCGAGTCGTTCTTCTGTTTCCTGGTGTCGTCCAGGTTCCTCAGAGCGTCGGCCAGATCGCTCACGGCTCGGTCCCTCTCCCTCCTCAGGTTGTCACACAGCGTCCTGAAACAAGACGTGGTTCAAACTTTACAAATGTCAAATACAGAATGACACAAACTGATTCAAAGTCACTTTCCCCGGCCGAGGTTTTTGAATAATCCAGGAGTTTGACGATATAAGCTTTGATTTTACAGTTTAAAACTACAGACTCATTACACTTGTGTTTTTATCTCTCTCAGTGTGCGTATCTCTCTCTGCATGTGTCTCCCTCTCTCCGCATGTGTCTCTCTCTGTGTGTGTCTCTCGCTCTCTCTCTCCTCATGCGTCTCTCTCTGTGTGTGTCTCTCTCTCTCTCTCCGCATGTGTCTCTCTCTGTGTGTGTCTCTCTCTCTCTCCTCATGTGTCTCTCTGGGTGTGTCTCTCTCTCTCCGCATGTGTCTCTCTCTGTGTGTGTGTGTCTCTCTCTCTCTCTCTGCATGTGTCTCTCTGGGTGTGTATCTCTCTCCGTATGAGTCTCTCTGTGAGTGTGTCTCTCTCTCCTCATGTATCTCTGTGTGTGTCTCTCTCTCCGCATGTGTCTCTCTCTGTGTGCGTCTCTCTCTCTCCGCATGTGTCTCTCTGGGTGTGTCTCTCTCTCCGCATGTGTCTCTCTCTGTGTGTGTCTCTCCCTCTCCACATGTGTCTCTCTCTCTATCCACATGTGCCTCTCTTTCCGTGCGTCTCTCTCCATGTGAGTCACTCTCTCTCTCTGTCTCTCTCTCCATCTCTCTCAGATGTTTTTGCATTTAAACCGTGCTCTCGCAGCAGTGTTAAATCTTGTAGTCACCGTATGCTCTCGCGCTCCGCCACGATCTTGTCTCGCTCCTGGAAGGCCCAGTCTCGTCTGCACTTGGCGACCTCGGCCTCCTGCAGACCGTCCTTCAGCTCCTGCGACACGGCCTCGCACTGCTTCCTCAGAGCGTCGATCTCTTTGTTCGCGCGCTCCATGTCCAGCGTGGCCGAGTCTTGTTTCTGAAGACAACCAGAGAAAAGAGGAACGAGATTATTAAAGATCTGTGCTAAAGCTAGTGTCAAAGCAAGATTATGATTCGAGAAAGCTAAAAGGTATTTACACAAACAAGATTACTTTTCCCCCGGATCTACAGCCTCAGTCCTGGGTCTACAGCCTCAGCCCCGGGTCTCAGCCCCAGCCCCGGGTCTGGTCTAGAGCCTCAGCCCCAGCCCCGGGTCTACAGCCTCAGTCCTGGGTCTACAGCCTCAGTCCTGGGTCTACAGCCTCAGTCCTGGGTCTACAGCCTCAGACCTGGGTCTACAGCCTCAGTCCTGGGTCTACAGCCTCAGTCTACAGCCTCAGTCCTGGGTCTACAGCCTCAGTCCTGAGTCTACAGCCTCAGTCCTGAGTCTACAGCCTCAGTCCTGAGTCTACAGCCTCAGTCCTGAGTCTACAGCCTCAGTCCTGGGTCTACAGCCTCAGTCCTGGGTCTACAGCCTCAGTCCTGGGTCTACAGCCTCAGTCCTGGGTCTACAGCCTCAGTCCTGGGTCTACAGCCTCAGTCCTGGGTCTACAGCCTCAGTCCTTCCTGGGTCTACAGCCTCAGTCCTTCCTGGGTCTACAGCCTCAGTCCTTCCTGGGTCTACAGCCTCAGTCCCGGGTCTACAGCCTCAGTCCCGGGTCTACAGCCTCAGTCCCGGGTCTACAGCCTCAGTCCCGGGTCTACAGCCTCAGTCCCGGGTCTACAGCCTCAGTCCCGGGTCTACAGCCTCAGTCCCGGGTCTACAGCCTCAGTCCCGGGTCTACAGCCTCAGTCCCGGGTCTACAGCCTCAGTCCCGGGTCTACAGCCTCAGTCCTGGGTCTAAAGCCTCAGTCCTGGATTCACAAACCTATGAACAGTGGTCCTCCTACTCCCTATGAATCAACGTTTGGTATTATTGTATTTTTTGATTGTTTGATTCTGATTTGTTGTTAATGAATCTATAAAACTATAGCTTCATTTTTGTAAATGTTGCCTGATTTTACGCTTTGAAATAGACACTAAAGGCCTTGCACGGTGCATCTTGAAAACAACTTTATCCACAAATAAACGCTCATCAAGCAGCTGTAATTAAGCGGTTTCCCACGTTCACTCACTTATATTTCAGCAAAATCCCTCATTACTGCTCTGTCTCGAGGCCAAACGTCTCATTATCGTCTTTCGGATGCGTTGCAATTCCTGTGCCCAAAGTCCAAAAAGCCTTTTTCACTGAGACCAGAGGTTATTCCCTAATGCAGCGTTTTACTCAGAGACTTTTAAAGCAGTTAATCCGGCAAAGTGCGCTTGACCAAACGTGAGAAAAATCAATGGGTGGACTCACGCCAGCTGCTGAAAATAACTTGACGTGACGGGATGAAGGGATTATAAATGTCTTTGTAAATCTGGTCTGTTTGGGTGCGTTTGCTGCTCGTGGAATTTGTTTTTGTGTAGAACTAAATCACAGCAGCAGTCAAGGGATTGCTCAGCACGAGATCAGAGAATCAAACAGATATAACTCAGGAAAAGCAATAATACAAAACACGTAGGAGGCATTGGTTCATGGGAAGAGGGATGTTAATGGTAATAAATACTGTCCGTCCGTGAGTCTCTCTCCTCCGTCTCTCTGTCTCCGTATGTCTGTCTGTCTGTCTGTCTGTCTCTCTCTCGCTCCGTCTCTCTGTCTCCGTCTGTCTCTCTCTCGCTCCGTCTGTCTCTCTCTCGCTCCGTCTGTCTCTCTCTCGCTCCGTCTGTCTCTCTCTCGCTCCGTCTGTCTCTCTCTCGCTCCGTCTGTCCGACTCTCTCCGTCCGTCTGTCCGACTCTCTCCGTCCGTCTGTCCGACTCTCTCCGTCCGCCTGTCTCTCTCTCCGTCCGCCTGTCTCTCTCTCCGTCCGCCTGTCTCTATCTCCGTCCGCCTGTCTCTCTCTCCGTCCGCCTGTCTCTCTCTCCGTCCGCCTGTCTCTCTCTCCGTCCGCCTGTGTCTCTCTCCGTCCGCCTGTCTCTCTCTCCGTCCGCCTGTCTCTCTCTCTCATTTTAAAGCTGGGGTACCTGACTTGCACCCACCTGTCTGGCCTGGTAGTACTCTCGCAGCAGCTGGTCCCTCTGGATGATGGCCTCGGTCCTCTCCTTTCGGGCCACGTCCCTCTCCTCCCTCACCGTGTCCATGTCCTTACAGGCCTGGGACAGCTCCTTCTGGGCCTCGGCCTTGTCCTTCGCCTCGTGGCAGTACTTCTCCAGCAGCTCGTTCTTCTCGCAGATGGCACGGTCACGGTCCACCAGCGCCGACGACAGCTCCTGAGACAAACACAACACAAGATGGTCAAAGTTTGGTTTTAGAGCAAGTAAAGAGTGAGAGTGTGTGGTTCCTAAGTCAAATACAATATGAGAATCAGCGAGAAGGTCCTGGGAGATAGATAGATGGAGATAGATATAGAAAGAGGGAGAGGGAGATAGATAAAGAGGGAGAGAGGGAGAGCCAGACAGAGACAGCGAGAGAGACAGACAGAGAAAGAGACAGCAAGGCAGACTCTACTCTCCGACTCCACTATACCACCTTTATCTCTGCTATGACACAGATTCTCAGCGGTCACCTGTCTGAGCGCCTCCATCTCCTCGTTGGCCACGCGTCGCTCCGAGCTGCTGTTCCGGAGCTTGTCCTGAGCCGCCTCCAGTCCGCTCTGGAGCCGGTCCACCTCCTTGATGACCTGGTCTCTCTCGCTCATGATCAGCCGGTACTCGCACATCACTGAATCTCGCTCCTCCTTGTACTTGTCGCAGTCCTTCAGGGCCTTCAGCTGCTGGGTCTTCAGTCTCGTGGTCTCGGACTGAAGACGCTCCATCTCCCGCTGCAGCTCTTTGTACTGAGAGGCGGCTTTGGAGAGCTCCTGCTGTGTGCTGTCGAACCTGCAGCCCACGACAGGTACAGTGCATAAGATGAATGAATCAAACAAAAGAAACTTCTCTCTCCAGTGGCCCTCTCTCCAGTACTCTCTCTAGTCTCTTCCCGTCTCTCTCTCTAGTCTCTTCCCGTCTCTCTCTCTAGTCTCTTCCCGTCTCTCTCTAGTCTCTTCCCGTCTCTCTCTCTAGTCTCTTCCCGTCTCTCTCTCCCTCTCTAGTCTCTCCCGTCTCTCTCTCCCTCTCTAGTCTTGCCCGTCTCTCTCTCCCTCTCTAGTCTTGCCCGTCTCTCCCCAGTCTCTCTCCCCAGTCTCTCTCCCCAGTCTCTCTCCCCAGTCTCTCTCCCCAGTCTCTCTCCCCAGTCTCTCTCCCCAGTCTCTCTCCCCAGTCTCTCTCCCCAGTCTCTCTCCCTCTGCTCTCTGACCTAGAAGTGGTGACACCGTTCAAACACACACGCATTAAGATGACCAGGAGACATGACTTTCTTTCTCACTGAACATGACTTCGTGGAGAGAGTGGAGGCAGGAATCTTCTCATCTTCAACCAAAAGGCTCCAAGGAAAGTGGCCTCTGAAGCCCATCTACTCAGCCATGTAATGTGACATCAATTAATCAACTTCTTTCATTATTTAAACGCTTTGGGTGAAGCTAAAGCGTGTCCTCTGTTTAACTCAATCTGTTCAGACTCTATGCAAATTATTAACACAGAGGATTCTCAATGTTTGTAATGTTCATAGAGCTTTTGTGAGAGACTTTAGGACGAGAAAAATTAAATTATCTCTGGTCTCTCTCTCTCTGGTCTCTCTCTCTCTGGTCTCTCTCTCTCTGGTCTCTCTCTCTCTGGTCTCTCTCTCTCTCTCTGGTCTCTCTCTCTCTCTCTGGTCTCTCTCTCTCTCTCTGGTCTCTCTCTCTCTCTCTGGTCTCTCTCTCTCTCTCTGGTCTCTCTCTCTCTCTGGTCTCTCTCTCTCTGGTCTCTCTCTGGTCTTTCTCTCTCTGGTCTTTCTCTCTCTGGTCTCTCTCATTGAACTAAAGGCAGGTTTCTAAATTTAGATGCATTCGTTTTTGGGTGAATGGAGAAACATCCACAGCAGAAGGTGAACACATCTGGAGCAGCATCTGTCCTGAGATAATGTGGCTTAACTCTCACTCTGACTCCACTTTGGACAAAGACTAAAGACAGTCTTTAAGCACAAATTACCAACGACTACTTTTCAACAAACGCAAATAATCTTGACCTGACCTGACTCTCTTGCCATTGATTCATATTTAATCTTATGATGCAACTTTCAAACCACTAAAACAAAATATTATGTCATAAAATCTAACTCGTTTATGCCTCAACAACCTTTGAGTGACTGGTCTGTGAATCAGTCATTTTGTGTTTTACCATTTTATTTATAATTTATTTTATTATTATTTTTCTTGGGTTTTTTTCTAGCTGTAAATGTTAGTGCAGCTCAGTGTTCATGGTTTTCACTGATCCAGACCAGAGCAGAGAGGATGGTCCTAACCAAGATGATCAAGCAGAAATCCACTGAAGGAATGCCAATGTTTTGAAAAATGCTAATAAAGCATTCGGAATATCACTCTGAACCAGAGCAGAGAAAATTAACCTGCTGCTGTGATCTCTCCTGCTATCTCTCTATTTTCTATCTCTCTCACGTATTGCTGGTACTGACCTTCTTATGGAGGAGAAGGAGGAGGAGTACTTCTGCTCGTACAGGCCTCCCTCTCCCTGGGCCCCAGGTCAAACTCTCTCATACTTTATCACACGGTAAAGTTGAAAGAACGCATCCAATTATCAAACAGAAAACGCCTGGAGCACTGCTGCTGGTACCAACCTGCGTATGGAGGAGGAGTACTGCTGCTGGTAGTGGAAGGCGGCGTCCCGTTGCTTGAGCAGGACCTCCAGCTGCTTCTGGAGCTGGTGGTTCTCCTCCTCGGTCTGGTCCAGGCGGCTCAGGTCTGCGTTGTGACTCGCCATGTTGTCGTTGTACCGTTTCCTCAGAGTCTCGTAGTCGCTCTTCAGAGCCTCGAACTTGTCCACGGCGCTGTCGTAGAGCTTGGTCAGGACCTCCGAGGAGCCTTCTCTCATCACCTGCAGGACCAGACCAGAGCAGGATTGGAATTCATTTTGACCAATTATTAAAAAGAAATCTAGTAACGTGTGTATATTTTTCTACATCTTTAATAAATGTATAAATCATTTAACAAGAACACCTTCCAATAAATGAATATATTGATTTGAGAATAGAGAGATGAGAGAGGAGAGATAGAGATAGGAAAGATAGGAGAGAGAGGAGCAAAAGATGAGAGGAGAGATAGAGATAGGAGACGAGGGTCGAGAGGGAGGAAAGATAGAAGAGATAGGAGAGAGAGCGAGAAAATACCGAGAAAGACTAGAGGATCTCTGTGTAGTAGATTGATAATTATCATAGAATAATGTGTGATTTCTCCTAAACTAATACGGCATAATATTATTGAAGACACGCAGCTGCAAGAACATTTACTTTGGAGAAATCCCCTTTGATATTGCCCTAGGATTCCACAAAACAAACCAGCTCTTTGAATAATAGGTTCATTTTATTTCTAGCCTCTTCGAAGTTCAAACAGGGCCGGTGGCTGTTGCACACTACCTCAAACGTTACTCTAAATGATCGTTTATGAGAGAGAGAAAGCCAAGGAACCAGTGTTAACAACCTTAACAGAGGGAGTGATCTGGACCTGCCAGCGCTCATCGAATTTAAATGAACAGTAGTTTTCCAAATGAAGCCCAGGGACATTGAGATAAAGTGCTCTCTCTTCTCCTTTTATCAAAACAGGAGGCAGAGGAGGTGTGTCTGTGTCAGAGCGGACAGGAGCCGGATCCAACAGGAAAACGCAAAGAGAAACGTATTTGGCTTTTGTGAAAGAAAAACGTTTTGTGTGGTGTCTTAGGAGCAGGTGCCATATCACGGTATTGAAGTGGTGTCTGTAAAAACGGGCTCGAGAGACAGACATATATTGAAGAATTTTTTATGTATGTGATTTAATGTGTTGTGAACTTTCTTATTGAAGCTGGTTGCAATCATGGTTTTAAAGGCAGCAAGGGGACAGTAGGGTTGTGACAGAAAGATCATATGTGAGAAGTCGATGGTTGACTACTCAATTTAACTCTTTAACTCAATTGTACAGGTTTAATTTAGTATTAAACCAGTAACATGCACACTAAGCTAAGAGAAAGTTTTAAAGTGTTTGTTTAAAGTTAGTACAGCGTGTTCCCTGTGTTTAATCCCATAAGTAGTCTTTCTAGCTCTGTTTTGTTTACCTTTGACTATTGGCTCCGGCCTGTGCGCTTATGAGGATTATTATGAGTATTATTATTGGTTAATTATCCTTTATTTAACCTGGCAAAGTTCCACTGGAATTTCAGAAACCTCTCTTTCAAAGGAGTCTTGGCCCCTGACCATAGACTGTTTATAGAAGTTGTGTGCTATCCTCTTTTGTATATATTTTAATGTGTTGCGAGTAAGTCTGCTCTCTCCTCTGCTCTCTCTGCCCCTCTCTGCTCTCTCTCCTCTCCCCCTCTGCTCTCTCCACTCTCCCCTCTCCGTCTCTGCTCTCTCCACTCTCCGTCTCTGCTCTCTCCACTCTCCGTCTCTGCTCTCTCCACTCTCCGTCTCTGCTCTCTCCACTCTCCGTCTCTGCTCTCTCCACTCTCCGTCTCTGCTCTCTCCACTCTCCGTCTCTGCTCTCTCCACTCTCCGTCTCTGCTCTCTCCACTCTCCGTCTCTGCTCTCTCCACTCTCCGTCTCTGCTCTCTCCACTCTCCGTCTCTGCTCTCTCCGTCTCTTGCTCTCTCCGTCTCTGCTCTCTCCGTCTCTGCTCTCTCCGTCTCTGCTCTCTCTCTGTCTCTCCGCTCTGCTCTCCGTCTCTGCTCTCTCCGTCTCTGCTCTCTCCACTCTCCGTCTCCGCTCTCTCCACTCTCCGCTCTCTCCACTCTCAGTCTCTGCTCTCTCCACTCTCCGTCTCCGCTCTCTCCACTCTCCGTCTCTGCTCTCTCCACTCTCCGTCTTGCTCTCTCCACTCTCCGTCTCTGCTCTCTCCACTCTCCGTCTCTGCTCTCTCCACTCTCCGTCTCTGCTCTCTCCACTCTCCGTCTCTGCTCTCTCCACTCTCCGTCTCTGCTCTCTCCACTCTCCGTCTCTGCTCTCTCCACTCTCCGTCTCTGCTCTCTCCACTCTCCGTCTCTGCTCTCTCCACTCTCTGCTCTCTCCACTCTCTGCTCTCTCCACTCTCCACTCTCCGTCTCTGCTCTCTTCACTCTCCGTCTCTGCTCTCTTCACTCTCTGCTCTCTCCCCTCCAGCCCCTCACCTGTTGGTGCAGCCCCCTCATCTCGGCCACCTCCCTCTGGTCCTCCTCGTGCAGCCTCCGCAGGTCGTCGCAGGCCTGCTTCACGTGGTTGTGTTCTCGGACCAGTTGGATGTTGTCCTGTCGCAGCAGCTCCAGCTCCTCCTTCATCTGAGACTGTTCGCTCACCATGCGGCTGTGGAGAGTACTGCGGAGAGAGAGAGAGAGAGGAGAAACATGAGAAATGGAATCAAATCTCTGGTTGAAATCAGCAAAGAGAAAATACTACAGCCTCGGTCCTGGATCTACAGCCACGGTCCTGGATCTACAGCCTCGGTCCTGGATCTACACCCTCAGTCCTGGATCTACACCCTCAGTCCTGGATTATTCGCAATGCATTTTTAATTGTTGAGTTGTTGTGATACTTAGAGCTTTGTCAAAATGACGAATTGCTATAACCATTTGGGAACTTTTTTTGTTTTGTATCTACCTCCATATTAATCTTGCACTTGTATGTGTGTGTGGGGTCACTTTATCTTTGTAATGCATTTTTCATAACCATGCCACGTGCCCGCCCTCGTCCCCTCCCCTCCACCCTGTCCCCTCCCCTGTCCCCGCCCGTGTCCCCGTGTGCCCGCAGGAGAAACCACTGAGGATTAACCTATCCGACAGCCGCTGCATCTGGAACCCATTGTAAATCTGTGACCTGGACATGAACCTGACTCCCAGGGAAACACACAGTTGTATAGAACTAGTTTTCGACGCACAATACCAGAGCGGTGTGATTGTGTAGAGGAGGAAAAGTAATGTGTGTTTGAATACAAGTTGTCGTAAGCTTTAAAAAGACTGGATTTTGCTTATTGTGACATCAATATACAAACAGGATGAAGAATGAAGCCAAAACAAGCAACAAATATTCAATTTTCAAGTTACTTTTATGTGATAACTTGAGAAATGCAGTATTACCAGTGTTATTTTTGGCCATTTCAGGTTATAAAAAGCATAATGATAAAGTGGACTGGATTTCATTTAAACCTCACAAATCAGTAATGTGTTTGTCACCATTTTTCCCCCCGTTATAATTTCTCCCAGTTTTTTGCCTAATTTGATTGACAGATTGCGAAGGGGGAACAGCGTGGGTCTGTGGAGTCCAGGGTCCAGCGGCTTAGACCCGGACTAATCCCTCATCTGTCTGTTTGCCTTTGGGCCAGATGTCCGTCCCATAGACTTCTGCGCACTATGGCAACAGTACAGTACTCAAATACTTCACAAATACTCTCACTCGGACCAGAGAGAGACCAGAGAGAGAAACCACAGAGAGACCAGAGAGAGAGGCCAGAGGCCTCGCACCAAAATATATTGGTGACATGTTAGTACCATGTGAACCAGCCCGGACTCTGAGGAGCACAGGGACTGGACTCCTGTTAGTGCCCAGAGTCAGAACTAAACATGGGGAGGCTGCTTTTCAGATTCATGCTGCTAAAATCTGGAACAATCTTCCTGAAGATGTGAGACAGGCCTCCTCTCTGACAATGTTTAAAACCAAGTTAAAAACGGTGCTGTTTAACTGTGCATACAACTGAGGGATTTTATATTTTTATCTTTCGTTTTAATGTTCTGTGATTATTTATGATTTTAATGCTATCTTGTTCAGCACTTTGAGTTTCCTTGTGTATGAATTGTGCTATACAAATAAACTTGCCTTGCCTTGCCAGAGAGAGGCCAGAGAGAGAGGCCAGAAAGAGACCAGAAAGAGAGACCAGAAAGAGAGACCCATGCTTCTCTATGGGAGGTTGGTAGCATCTTTTGCTTAATGTCAAACAATGCAGCCCTGTGTTTTTCGCCTCAGATTAAAATGCTATTGACTAGAGACAACAGTGGTAAAGGTGTGCGTGTCGTTTAGACCCATGTCTGCTTTTCACCCTATGGAGAAATTAGATACCAGGAGAAGGAGAGACCACAGCGAGAGAGCGGAGACCCCAGCAAGACCCATTAAACAGTCGTCTCTCTGCTGCATTACAAATATGAAAAGTGCAGCCTATATGTGAATTTTTTTTACTTTGTTTTCAAATTCAGATGGTGCGGCTAAAAAACAGGTGTGCCTTATTGTCCAGAAAGTAGGGTCATTTTATTTTGTGTTGCCTGAATCACGTCAAAACCGGTTTTACAATACATGTCATCGGTCCCTGGACAAGTCTGGTCTCCAAAAGTGGCCCTCTAACAGAAACGTTTAAACACCCCTGGTCTGTGTGGATGCCAAAAATGCATCATCCGTGATTGGAAAGTGGTTGGAACTATCTGGGGACTGGCTTTAGAGGGTTATAAATGCTTCATCCCTTTGTTCATTTGGCTGAAAGTGAAATCTGCTCTCTGCAGTCTGCCGCGAACATGTCAGTGAACCCAGAAGCTGCTGAAATATTGACGATGGTTTTCAGAGGCGCGGCGGCGGACTCACTGGTAGAAGTCGGCCTTCTTCGCGGCCTCCTCGCAGCGCTTTAAAGTGCTGCTGTGCTGGTTCTGCAGAGACTGGAGGTCGGCCATCGCCTTCATGCACTGCAGCTTCAGGCGCTCGTAATCGTGGCCTGTTTTGGAGTTTGGTCTAAAAGGAAGAAAGAAGAAATATATTAGAAGACAACAAAGGCAGGAGAGACAGGATTGAGAGATACGACGAAAAAGAGAGAATGTTATTCTGTTGTGCGAGTTTAAGACCAGAGAGAGACCAAATAGATAGAGACAGAGACAGAGAGAGAGGTCAGAGAGAGACCAGAGAGAGAAAGAGAAGCCAGCTAGAGCGAGAGAAAGAGAGAGACCAGACAGATACCAGAGAGAGGCCAAAGAGAGACCAAGGAGAGACCAAGGAGAGACCAAAGAGAGAAAGAGACCAGATAGAAACTAGAGAGAGAGCAACCAGAGAGAGAGAGATGAGGGAGAGCAGTGAGAGAGCAGAGGGAGGGAGTAGAGGGAGAGACCAGAGAGAGAGGCTAGAGAGAAAGAGAGACCAGAGAGAGAACAGGGACCAGAAAGAGAGACCAGAGATAAACGCCACAGAGAGACACCAAAGAGAGAGAGAGAGCTGAACTGAGTTACCTGCAGTCGTCGAAGGTGGTCCCAGGAGAGGAGAGGGCGAGGCGTTTGCGCAGCTCGTCTCGTTCTCGCGTCACTTGTCGGAGTTGGAACAGGACGGTCTCCATCTTCTCGCTGACCAGGGGGGAGTCCAGGAGCGCGGGGGGAGGGGAGGAGGCTGGGGCCGGGGCACCTGCAACAGTCAGCATGTCACAGGAGCCAAGGGCAGGGGGGAGGAGGCCAAGGGGAGGGGAGCAGTATGGAGAGAGCACAGAGAGAGACAGAGAGAGAGATAGAGAGAGAGATAGAGAGAGAGAAAGAGAGAGAGAGAGCAGACACCAGAGAGAGAGAGAGCAGACACCACAGAGCGAGAGAGAGCAGAAGGAGAGACCAGAGAGAGTCCAGAAACAGAGAGCTGAGACCACAGAGAGAGACCAGACAAAGAGACCAAGATCAGGGAGAAAGACCACATAGAGAGAGAGAAAGAGAGAGAAAGGGAGAGAGAGAGTGAAAGCAGCAACTAGAGAGAGCAGAGACCAGAGAGACACTTTAAATCATGCTGTGTCCAGTTAAATCCATCTGCTACATTACAACATGAAAACCTGCGTCTTATATTCAAGAGCAAAGGGCTGAGGGGAGGAGCTGGGGCCCAGAGTCAGCACTAAACATGAGGAGGCAGAATGTCAGATTTATGCCGCTAAAACCTGGAACAGTCTTCCTGACAAGGTTAAAATCCAGGTTAAAAACAGTTCTGTTTAGCTGCAACTGAAGGATTGCATATCTTTTTAATGCACTGTGATTATTCATGATTTGGTTTGCAGAGCACTTGGAGTTGCCCTGTGTTTGAACTGTGCGAAACAAATAAACGTGGTGAACTCAAAGTCTCTGGCGTTGCATGTGTCGTGTCTAAATCCTCTGTGTGTAATCACTTGCATGTGGTCTCTCTGCTCTGGGAGGGACTGACTTCATTTCAGTACTGGGTGACTGCAGATCCTCAGGGGGAAAGGGAGGCGTATTGTTTTGGCTGTGGTCTTTGTCGAACGCATGTGAGTTTGGAGGGACTCACCTAAACTGCTGAGGGAGCTGCTGCTCTCGGAGTCGGACGGCATCGTGGACAGAACGCTGTAAGTGGAGCCTGAAGACAGAAGAAAGAAGACATTTAAGTATTTTATGGAAATCTATTTAAATGGAAAGATTCAGGTTAATCACAGCTGAATGTATCGTTTGTTTTCAGGATTTCACAGGTGGCAATACATCTCTGTGCTTTCCCAACACCTTTATGTGAAAATAATTAGACCATTGCTGATAGAGGGACCAGAGAGAGGCCAAAGAAAGGCCAGAGAGAGACCAGAGAGAGCGGAGAGAGAGCAGCGAGTAGATAGACCAGAGAGAAAGACCAAAGAGAGGCCAGAGAGAGACCATCGAGACCAGAGAGAGAGAAATACCAGAGAGGCCAGAGAGAGACCAAAGAGAGACCAGAGAGAGAGAAAAAGATCGAAAAGAGACCAGAGGGAGACCAGAGAGAGAATCAAAGACAAGAGACAAAAAGCAAGTCAGGTTTCCTAATCTTTAACTTAAAGCAGCAAAAAAAAAAAATGGAGAAAACTTGACACAAATCAGTCTCTTGGTCACAGTTTTTAAAGGAGATAGACCTGTTTAATTCTCTGGTACATTGCAAGCCGTATGTTTTTGGAGACAAGCGTTTGACATCAGCTCAATCCGAACCGTATTTTAGTCAAAGTCGATGCTCTCTCCCTGTTGCTGTGAACCCTCAGAGCTCCCAGTCTCAGCAGAGGCATAAAAGCCGTGGGTTTTCTTCACACAGGCCTCAAATGAAAGACCCGGTGCTCTGCATTCAGCGGATCATTAGCCGCACTTTGCCGTCAGCCCAAACCCGGGGAAGTCCCTCCTTTTTTGTCCCAAGAAACGAAAGCTTTTCACTGAAGGAAACTTAAACTCCGGGCCTTGATCTTCTACACAAGCCCCTGACGACAGCGGCGAGAACGAGGATGGGAAATACCTAGAGCCAAATGTTTGAAATGTGTTTGATCTGGTGACAAAAATGGGACGTGAAAGAATAAGAAATTTAGATCATAGGGTTTTTTAGCAGCTCCGGGAGTAGAGACATAAGTGAGATTCATATGGTTCTCTTTTATATAATTTGACAAACAAAAGCAGAGAGCAGACAAGACGTAAAGCTGCAGGTTACTGTCATTCACAAAAAGAGATACCATCCATCCATTTTCTTCTGCTTTATCTGGTGCCGAGTCGCAACAGATCAAGAGATAGAGCAGAGAGAGGCCAGAGAGACCAGAGGGGGAGAATAGAGAGACCAGAGAGAGAGCAGAGAGAGATCAGAGAGACCAAAGACATAGGCCGGAGAGAGGCCAAAGAGGGACCAGACCAGAAAAAGACAATAAGGAGACCAGAGAGAGTGACCAGAGAGAGATCAGAGACAAGAGGGAGACAAGAGAGACCAGAGAAAGACCAGAGAAAGACCAGAGAGAGAGACCAGAGAGAGAGACCAGAGAGAGAGACCAGAGATTTTGTTTAATGAAGATTGGCCCTGGGATTACAGAGAAATCATCTCTAAACTAAAGACCGACATTTACCATAGTTACAAAGGAAAGATTCGTCGGCCTGAGATTTGTACATGAGGTCTAGACAATTCACCGCAACTGAATCAACATTTCTGTGATCACAATTAGCAAATCGCAAAAGACAAAAACAGCAAGACATTGTTTACTCGACAGCAGCCTTTCAACAAACTGGTTTGCTGTATTCCAAATGATATAAAGCAGTTTTAGCACAAGGTAAACAGGTATACAGTACTTCATTTGAATAACACTGAAAAAAACGTTAGTAGTGTCAGAATTCTTGGAGTCCTGGTGTGAGGGCGTGTCTAACCGAGCAGGCACTGAATCTGTCATCAAGAGAAAAACTATGTATTTTTATATGTGGAAAATGGGCAGAGGACCAGATCAGATTGATGAGCCTGATTTAGAAATGAGTCAGGGCACTTCAATATTCATTTGGATTCTTGCTCTATTGCTAATCCAACTCAGCAATCAACTGATTTTTTTTCTATTCAAACCAATAATGCCAGGGTCATGAGCTGCATATCTGATTTGGAAAAGTAAAGTTTGTCCCAGTGGTGGTGGTGAGAGGAACCAGTGGGAAGTACCAGGTGTGATGTACTCAAAGTTACTCAATGACGACAGAAGCAGCGACAACTTAAAAATTAAAACGTAAATTGTAATAAAGTTCATCCAATGACAGTAGTCTCTCGCTCTCTCGACAGACCGGAGAGAGAGAGAGACGAGAAAGAGTGAGAGACCAGAGAGAGATCAGATTTATACCAGAGAGAAAGAGACCAGAGAGAGATAGGGGCCAGAGAGATAGAGAAATCAGAGATAGACCAGAGAGAGAGAGACCAGAAAGAGCGATAGAGAGAAATCAGAAAGAGACCAGAAAGAGTGATACTAGAGAGAAATCAGAGAGAGACCAGAAAGAGAAGGGGGCCAAAAAGATAGAGAGAGACAGACCAGAGAGAGATAGACCAAAGAGAGACTAGAAAGAGACCAGATAGACCAGCGAGAGAGCAAGACACCATCACATTTTCATATCAGATTTTTTAGGCAGAAAAGTGAGAGAAGGACGTATCGAGAGAGGGAGAGATAACTCCCTCTCTCTCCATCTCTCCCTCTCTAGTAGCAGGCAAACCGGTAAAGGCTGTTTTGAGCATTGTAATAAAGGCCATTATCATGTGGCCCTCACTGCACAGTGTCTCTGGCTCTGGTCCATCTCTCTCCTCTTCTTCCTCATTTAACAGCCCTAAATCCTGCTTTGGTTCAGTCCAGTTCCCACAGGCCCTGTCACTGCTGCAGGTTTGATTAAAGTTTACTGGAGACGGTCACAATGTCGCAGTGTTTTTCCACAGAAGCAGCGAATAAAGAGATGTGCCTCCATACATCAGCCGGCTTTGTCCTTTCCCAGTTTGAGTTTCCAGGGATCGCCGTTTGTCTCTACGGGCCCCGAGTCTCCCCGTCTGCACCTCTCCTCACTGCAGGGGAAGTCACGTGAGATAGAAGGAAGAGAGAGAGAGAGAGAGAGAGAGATTTGGATGATGTATTGTTATGGGATATTTGGGGGTTTTAAAAAAGGTGCAACGAGCAACTTTCTCTCCGCCGTCTCGTGTCCTTGGAGATTGAAAAGGTTTAGGAGGAAGGTTTAGACGAGCAGGGCAATAAACACATGTAAATCGATTAGAATAGTAAACGTGGGGACAGAAATCATGCCTTCGACAACCTGGAGAAGCCTCAGTCCTCGCTCTACCGTCAGTGCAAAAAGTGATGACAAAAGAGCAAAACAATTTATCTTAATTTGAGCACATTTCAACTGCAAGATTTGCAAATGGGACAAAGCAAAATGATCTTGTTTTTAAAAAGATACAAGAAACGTCTCTCATGGAATGAGAAAATAAAGCAACGGTTCTTGAATTAAGACTAAATGGCTTTGTCCCATTGGAAAAATCATGTTTTAAGACAGTCAGAATGATAAAAACCACTTGATTTAAGCATTTCATATTTTATCATTTTTTTGCAGTGCGAGTCCTGGATCTACAGCCGTGGGAGTAGATCTCTCGCTCTTCCTGAGGCTTTGATCCCAAATCTGTGTGTGGTTTCTTGCCGATGAAGGAGGGTCTAAGGTAGAGTTATCCAAACTGGTCCAGAAAGGGCCGCTGTTTAACCTGAAGATTTGAGGAAATGGGAGGAGTCTGCTCTGCTCCTGCTGGGTCTGATAGAAAACCTGCAGCCACAGCGGCCCTTTCTGGACCAGTTTGGACACCTCTAAGGACAGTGATGATCCAGGAAATGTATGAACATTTATAGACAGTGGTCGTCCCGCGCCCAAATGGACCAATGGCTCCAATGTGTTTGTTATTGTCATTTTTCTTATGCTGGAATTGTTTGAGTCTGATCTGTCAACAACTATATAAAGTCCTCAGAGACGACTGTTGTGATTCAGGATTTCATACTAAAACAAACTGAATGGAATAGATGCGTTACCTTTGACCGTCCTCCATACATTTACATTATATAATATTCTGCACCAGTGAAAGCTGCAGGTCGATAGAATAAATCTATGATCTCGAATATTGACGACATAATGGAGAAAAAGCTTGTGCCACAGGGCAATGTCAACACACACACACACACACACACACACATTTATATACATACACACACACAAGTCTTCAGCCATTATGGTGTCGGTTTCAGATCTTATAAGTGTATGTTTAGTTTTATTTTGGCATTGTTGAATTAATTTAATTTTTTTTATTATGTGAAGTTCTAGGATTTTGTATGTTTTTTTTAATTATTAGTACGCATTAAAAATACACACCTACATACACACAAACAAACATACAGACAAAGCCATTAACTCTTACAACGCTACCACAAAATAACTACACATGAGCCTCATGAATCAGAGAGCTTTGTAGTCCAGAAATTAGGGTAGATGTAGTTGAAATCTCAACTGTACACATGACACAGAACAGTTAAAGCCTCAGAAACCAGTGAGTCCGGTGCTGAAGCGTCTTGTGTATCCAGCTTCTGTGGAGTTTTAAACGCTGCTTTGTTTGGCATCGCCGCGGCACCAAACCACACGAGCACATGAGCCGCGTCCGCCCTGGGGCAGGTACAGGGCACTGGCGTCACGGCATTGTTCCCCATTTACGCAAGAGAACAGAAATAAACAAAGTGTGGAGGGAAGACGAAGATCACAGGACGGACTCCACCAAAATAATGTGGTTAAAGTTGTGCCGTGTTTTGGCATCTATCCAAAAATATGAGCAAGCTTAGACATCGTGATAGCTCTACAATCAAAACATACTATGACTGTTACGTTTTAAAGGTATATTGGAGGATTTTCTACTTCCGGGTGGATCATCGAGACTATTGGTCCTCCTACCTGTCAATCATTCTGGTGATACGAATAAGACCAGAGAGTTTTGTTCAAAAAGTGGAGAGGGCGGTTCTTTCCTAAAATTTGGGGAAATCCTCCTATATACCTTTAATGCTGGTTACTCATTTCAACTTTGTTACAGACTTTAGGTCCAATTTAAGACAT